TAAATCCCTAAGCAGTTGCTAATAAAAGAGATACTTTTCTATTGCTATCTTAACTATTATTAAGCATATAATAACAACCTATGAGCTGAAAAGAGAGCAGATGGCTTCCTGTTTTCTCTCAATGAACAAATAAATTACTTCTAATTTGGTTACGGTACATATATATATGAGGTCTTTTACATTTCTAGAAGCTCTGGGTGCAGAATGAATGAAAAAGTAAGCAACTAGGTGGTTCTAGTAGCTGAGAAGACAATACAGCTGTTTGCTAAGATGTAAAGATGAAGTACTTCCTTTAGTTCTCTCTACACAGAGGAAAGTAAATAGGGCAAATCACAGACAAAAAATGTAAAGTAGGAGAAACTTCTCTTCATTATTCCAAGGTTTTTTCTACTAGTCTTCTTGTCTTATTAACAGCTCCCATTCTCTCTTCCAAATATTGAAAAACCTTACTCTGGGGTACTGGCGTGACCTGGTCTTTCCCCAAGATTTTCCTCTCTCGCCCCCCCGAGGCTTCCAGACAGGCAGTTCCGCAGGGGACTGGACACTGAGACTGTCTAAAGCCGCAGGGAAATGGTGGGATATTCACCATAACCATTGCCAGAAAGAGTGATTTACGGCTTTGTTCTTTTCTTAAGCTCTCAATTTGGCTTCATACTATCTCTTTTTTTTTTTTTTTAAAGATTTTATTTATTTTATTTGAGAGAGAGAATGAGAGAGAGAGCACATGAGAGGGGGGAGGATCAGAGCGAGAAGCAGACCCCCTGCTGAGCAGGGAGCCCGCTGCGGGACTCTATCCCAGAACTCCAGGATCATGACCTGAGCCGAAGGCAGTTGCTTAATGAACTGAGCCACCCAGGCGCCCTCATACTATCTCTTGTGTGGGCTTTTATTCCTGAATCTTGGCTAAACTCCTTAGGCTTAACCTATTGGCCTCAAAAATACTGGGCAGTTGCACTGCCTGTCTACCTCCTCATTACTATAGTAATCGGTTATGTACTCTTACTTGGGATAAACCTGATGAGTACCTCTCCACTCAACTCCATTTATACAATCACAGACAACTATGCTAAAAATCAACAGCAGAAGAAATACCAAGAAGATGCCAGCTCAACCTTAAGAGATATTCCTATTAGTGAAGTAAACCAAATGTTCTTTTTTGCGGCCAAAGAACTTTGTCAAAAACTAAATTGTATGAAGACTAACACCAAGCATTTAAAGTTTTTGATGAAATAATTTTGACCATAATTATTTTTACTATCTTTTATAATACCCAATACTGAAATGTAAAAAAAAGGTGAACTTAGATTAAGTTCCATTATTATAAATGTTCTCAAACATTAGTTATTAATAGAATAAAATACTGCATTACCATATACCAGACTTTTTAAAAAATAAGTACCAGTAAAAGCAAGTCCCTCCAAAAAAAAACCTTACTCTATTCCTCTAAATTTCCAAAATAAAATAAAAATAAAATTTATAGGGCGCCTGGGTGGCTCAGTTGGTTAAGCGACTGCCTTCGGCTCAGGTCATGATCCTAGAGTCCCGGGATCGAGTCCCACATCGGGCTCCTGCTCAGCAGGGAGTCTGCTTCTCCCTCTGACCCTCCTCCCTCTCATGCTGTCTCTCATTCTCTCTCTCGCAAACAAATAAGATCTTAAAAAAAAAAAATTAAAAAAATAAAATAAAAAATAAAATTTATACCAGAACTAAAACTCATTTTTAGTAACATACTAATATAATTCTAAAAACATTTCATGATTTAGTCAACATATCTCAAGGATTAAAGACTAGAAAGGGAAGCAGTTCTTCAATAAGCCCCAAATCCACATGTACCTAAGACTAGTTCTAAAGACAGAGCTGCAGAGTTTAAGATTAGAAAGTAGTAATCAATTTCTCCCACTGAGAGACATAATATTAATTTCAGGAGAAACTGAATCTCAGCTACAGATTTATTCATGGGTGTTAATTCAAAAGAAATCTTCCAGCATTTCTGACATCTTAAGCTAATGAGCCTACCCACATGTGAGTTATCAGACCCTTTTTTCCCTAAGCTCTCCTCTCCCACTAGTCCTCAAATGCATATGCTAAAGTAAAAATAACTAGTATCATGGTGCCCCCCACCTTAGCTTACACCTCAGTGATTTCCTCAAGCTCTATAATCATATTTATCGCTCAGAGCTTCAGCTTTGGCCAAATTAAAGTAGTACCAATAACAGATATTTATATTAACAACTTATTATGGATGACTAATAACCAGCAGAATTAAGTACAAATCATATTAACTCCATTATAAATATCTTCAGCTCAGAAGCACTAACTCTTCTCATATATGTTCTACTTTCAGTCTATTCTTCATGTAGTTAGTTCTTCAACTTGTAACTAGAATCTCTAAGAATGAATATTGCTACTTTAAGGTAGCCAGTAGTGATTAGACTAAGATGTAAAAACTTGATTTTTAAAAGAAATATGAAGAATTAGTAGTAAAAGACCTGAACTGTAGCACTGGGCATTTAATTATCAAGTTACTTCCTCTAAACTATTCAAAGTAGGGGGAGTGAAAGAATAACATTGCTTAAATCCACTTGTTCACAGATTATACTTTTGATATTTGAGATTAGAAATCTGCAATGACATCAGAAAGTTACTATCTGACCTTAGACAATATATGAACTTTAAGAGTATGGACCATACATTTAAAGGTTACATACTGGCAAGAGACCAAAAATATAAACCTAAGTATTCTGAGAGATAAAGCTCTCAACAGATTAAAACTCTAATCTTTAAATTCGAAATTAACAAAATATGGGACACCATATCCATGGGGAGAAAAGATATACAAAAGGGTTTAACCAAGAATGAGAATACCTGGATTCTAATGTAAGCTTTATGTTCTTGGCCTTAATTTCACATGTAAAATAATGAGATTAGATTAGGTTTTATTTCAGCTTAAAAATTCTTAAGTCATTTATAAATGGGCATGAAGAATGAAACAGTATAGAATAAAACAGTTGTAAGCTCCAATTGTTTAGGGAACCCAAAATGTGTAATAGAAGGACAAAAACTACTGATTGAAAGAATCAAGAAATTTTTATCTGTTACATTGTGTGTGTGTGTGTATTTAGAAATACTCTTCTTGTTATCAAGGCAAATGTTATCAAATGGTAAGACATCAACTCAGGGCTCTTTAAAATTTACTATGTGTAGTATTTTATTTTTTTTTTAAAGATTTTATTTATTCATTTGTGAGAGAGAGAAAGAGAGAGAGCATGAGAGGAGGGAGGGTCAGAGGGAGAAGCAGACTCCCCGCTGAGCAGGGAGCCCAATGCAGGGCTCGATCCAGACACTCCAGGATCATGACCTGAGCCGAAGGCAGTCACTTAACCAACTGAGCCACCCAGGTGCCCTATGTGTAGTATTTTAAATGTGGGAAAGAGCTCAACTGAAGTCAGTGAGAATATCTCAATTTACAAATTATTTCTTAGTAACAAAATTTCACAACTTCAAAGAATTTTGTGGTTTAAGTATAAATCAGGACATAGTTAAATGTTTGCTGCCATCTTGTGGCTAACATATGAAATTTTTCCATTAGCTGTTTATATTTTAGTTCTAGAATGATTAGCCATCCTGTGGCTAGTAATTCAATAGACTGTATTTTAAGGAAAATTTTCCATTAACAGCACTTCAGTATTATGGTTATAAATTTGGAAAGGTCTTCATAAGCCATGTAGTCTGACATAATAAATGTAGGAGTAATTTCTACAACAGGCAGTCACTATACTACAAGGATCCATTTTATATATGCATACTTAGACCTGCGGAAAAAAAATTCCTCCTAACAATGAACACTTTTGTAAGCTTTATAACAAAAGCTGTCTTCATCATTTTTCTAGCCAGCACTGTTGTATGCACTAGCCTTCTGTGAACCTTTTTGTGGAACAATCCTTTATTTATAACAACATATTGTTGGCCCGTAGAAATTAAAAAAACAAAAACAAATCATGCTGGATGAAGTGTTCTATAAATGACAATTAGGACAAATTAGTCAATCTCAGGATTTTATTCTTTGGTTTTCCCTGTCATGTCATTTACTGAAAAAGAGAAATTGAAATCTGCTTTTTAAAAAAGGGGGGAGGGTCTGTTAATTCTTCTCAACATTTAGGTAGGAGGTTTTAATCAAATATTACCTACTCTATAAACCATTATAATTATACCTTTAATAGCCTTCAAAGTCAGACTTAACTACGATAAACATTTTAGTCCAACAGGAATGTCCAAGGCAATCTTCATTATAGTACTACTGTGCTGAAAAGGGTCGTTTATCAATGCATTATCCTCTATGTCATTTGTATAAAGATGAAAGGGTCTATATCTGTCTATCACATGTCTCTCCCATATATAATGAAGAAATCAAATTATTTCTTAAGGGATCTAGATTTCATCCAAGATCTACTACAGGCTATCTGATTTCTGTGAGTCATTTAACTTCAGTAATTTGATTTTCTCATGTATCTGCACTTTAAGCTGTATAAGATAATTATATATTCATAATGGTATTTGATTTTCAGAGGTTGGGCTCAGAAAACTGGATTGGCAACAGGCCTGACAGAAGAACAACTTGCTACAACTCACCTATTGCTTTCAACAAGATAAAAGAACAATAGAAACAAGACTCCCTCTATTTTACAAATAGCCAGGTCAAAGAGCACCAATAAAAGTCACAGGGTACTAGAACAAGTCCCAAAAGCCTCACTCAGTCAGAAAGGCACAGGAGCTATTAGGCTTTGAGGACCTATCTGTAAGCTAGGGAGTCAAAATGTCTCGTGTGTCTATACTTTGAAAAATCTTTCCCAAACCAATTTTTTAAACCAGTTTTCCTCAATTCACATAAAACAAACTCTCCTACATTCATAATTACCAAGTCATTAGAAATGTACAGGGTTAGTCTGAATGCATTGCAATGAAGTTAAAACTTTCATTATAATAGTTGTTTAAGAACTTACAGCGTCTGCTTTACAAATGGTATTGGCTACATGTCGACATAGCATCTTTAGCCAGTTTTCTTTTGGAAGTTCCTCTGATGTGATCTGGAAACTGAGCAGCACATTTGCCCGCTCTGTTGGTGGCCTCACAAGCAAGGCAAAAGCATTATGGCAATCTAGGGTTCCAGAATAAGTATAAACATTAAGTGTTATTCCTTGGAAAATGATAGATTTACTCAAGTTTAGTTTCCTCAGAGCAACAAAATTCCAATAAAATTATCTCTTCTCCATCCTTCCCATCCCTCTATTTTTAACTGGACAAAGAACATCACATATTACATTGAAACACTGGAAAGAATTCTAATAGTAAGTACCATGCGAGAAACCAACAATGATAATTTACTGACATTAAGTAGTATTTTCTATGAAATCTAATATTTTGAGACAATTTTTTTGAATTAGATTATATCATTTCTTAGAATTCCAGAATTTAAGTTTTAAATTAAAATGTGATAAGATTAATTTGATAACTTAAATCAAGTGCAAAGAAATAAAATATCCAAATATCAAAATGTTACAAAATGTTTTTGGACCAAAATGCTAAAACAGAACCTATTTTAAACAATAATTATAATCTATAATTCCAATCCAAAAATATGGAAATGATTTAAATAAATGCACTATTGTAACCCTTAATAAATCCAGAATCTGACAACCAAATAAAGATAGCAATAAAAGCTGCTGTTCAAGTTTTCTTTGTTTCTCATTAACTCAAAGTCTTCCATCATTAGATGATGGGATCAGTAATGGAACCAGCTTACACCGTAAAAACATTATGTATAACATCTAAAATATGGCCATGCACACACATGCCAATTAACCGATGATACTGGTTTTGGTAGGTATAAACTTTTGGTAATTGCAGGCCTTCAGAGAACCCTCCCTAACACTATCAAGGTTGAGTAAACTCTCCTTAATACACATTTGTCCCATGTTAATTCTACCATAGTTACTTTAGGTACATTTATTCATGTACTTCTTTCCTGGTCATATCCTAAACATATTCCTAGCAATGCAGCCATTGCCAACAGGGAAGGAATAAGATGCAGAGCACAGGTAACAGACTGATTTCTTTTGGATTCTGAAGGAATAAAAGTAAGTTTTGTAAGGATAAGAGGCTAGGTTACTGCACTATCTTCACGTATAACCATTTAAAAGCTCTTTGTCCCTTAAGGGATGAAGATATCCCACAAGTTGAGATAGTATTTTCATTTGAGAAAAATAAGATATCAAGTAGGTTCCTAGAGAAGAGTTGGGATAGAAGTATAAGAAAAATTACTTTACCAAACTAACCAACTGTATTTAAAGATAATTTACCAGTTTAGGGGTACCTGGGTGGCTCAATTGGTTAAGCGTCCAACTCTTGATTTCAGCTAAGGTCATGATCTCAGAGTTGTGAGATCAAGCCCCGTGTCAGGCTCCATGCTCAGTGGGGAGTCTGCTTGAGATTGTCTCTCTCCCTCTCCCTCTGCCCCTCCCCCGCTCACGCGTGCACGCGTGCTCTCTCAAATAAATAAATCTTTAAAAATAAATAAAAATAAAAAGGTAATTTACCAGTTAAAAAAAAAAAAGGGAGTGAATCAAACTTACAATGAATGTTAACTATTTTCATTTAGCCAAGTTTATCCAGTGAGCATACCTTCTGTTTCTCTTATGTCCAGTACCTTCTTTATCTGAGAAAGAGGCATTAGATGAATATGCTTAAGAGAAGCTGGGGGTCGGGTATGGCCAGGAGGACTCCTAAAAGTGCCAATAACCTTGTGTCGTTTTCTTGCTATCTGATTACAGAAAAATATGAATGAAAACAATTAAAGACCAAATACTTAAAAATGATATTAATCACATAAATCTACATGTGATTCTTTTTGACTATTAGTCATTCCAGAATTACTGTGTGATAAGAAGCAGAGTTACCATGTGACAAATTCATACATGCATGTAATTGTGTAGCAGAAATGCTGATGTATATATGAAAAGAGCCTAAAAGTCAGGAAAACAGACAAAGGGACAAGATCTACTGAAAAGGTCCCAAAGGTGTGAAAGAACTCAGAAGCACTTTGAGAAGGAATAGCATTGAAGGACAGAGGAATCTTCAACAAAAAACTTTGATCTTAGGAAGGGGAATAGTTGCTCTGGGATCTCAGTCCTGGGTTCAAAAGATAATTGATTTCAGTTTAAGAGCAGAATTCACAATGATCTCAGATCCTGTACAAGGCATTGAGGACAAAAGAGTAAATAACACAGAAATGGTTCTGGCTCTCGTGATATTTACATACCATTCAGAAAGAGGCAGGGTAAAGAACTAACTAAACAATACATTATGCAAATGACACAAATTATAAACTCAAGCTACAGTGTTAAGATGTAACTTTACTTAAACCCCAAACTCCTGTAAGAGGAAAAGATAGGTAAAGTAACTCTGGGGAAGACAGGAGCAAAATCAGAAAGGACCTTGTGATTCATAATGTACTGAATTCTGTGAATTTTATAAGGTTTTTAAATTTATTATTTTCATTTCCATGAAAGCCTAGTGTACTATTTTGCCTTTTTAAAAGAATGTCTTCTTTGAGGTCATAATAATCAAATGAAAGACATTAACACAAAATGACTTAGGATAAGTTACTTAATGAGTTGAGATTGGTCATCATCATGAATGACACAGTATGGCTAAAAATGCACTACCCTGTGTTGGCTAATCAGAAAAAATCAAAAGGCAGTCAATATCATATTCACACTGAAGCAGAAATATGATACAGATCTATGTTATATATCAAATATTAAAAGTTAATTTACATTAATATAGTTAAAATAAGCAATCAAGAGTTTCTTTAAATAATTTCCACCATAAATATGAATATTCCTTTAAATCAATTTGGATAAGCAAATAATTTTAAAGTTCATTTTTAAAAAGGAAAAACAATAACAAGTACCAATACTGATGACACAAATGCTAGCACATCAAGGTAAAAACTCAAAACACAGATAAAATATAAAAGGGAATATATGTCTGTAAATCCTCAGTTAGTTTAGCTTCAGTAAAACATCAACTGTCAAATTTAAGAGAAGTCAATATAGATTTTATCCACTTTAAATGTTTCTAACTTTTACCATATTCTTCACTCCAAATTTGCTAAGGATTTTTTTTTTTTAACAAGCTAAAGAATAAAAGTTTAGGATTATAAATCTTGAAGTCCAAACTGAATGTTGGCGATAGAGCTGTTTCAGTTAATACGATTCTAAGATAGGGAGCTAAGATAAACTAGAACAAAAAGTCAGTGGATTTAAGAAAGTAAAGGAAATGCGGAATTGGAGTATCACATAATGGGACTCAGAAGCTACAGGAAATAACCAATGACAGGAATTAAAGAGGCAGGTAAGTCAATGAGGCAGTTATAGAAAACTTCATGGAATTTGAAGATGTATGATCAAAAATTTAAAGTAAGCCACAACTCTCTCAGGATTATGAGGATAAAACCCAGAATAGATTAGCCAAGAGGTACAATGGAGCCAGTTGACCTGGGCACTTCAAGAGGAAAAACCTAAAAAAGGCTTTTAAGAAGCAAGTAAATAGAAGTACTGAGCAACTATGTACAGTAAAACCCCACTGGAAATTGACTTCACCTAGCCCCTGTTCTCCAAAGCAAAGCAGGCTGAAATTCTCCTTACGGGGGTGACAAGTAGTTCAAAAATATCTGCCTCATGATTTTTTATGACTTTTCAGTTCAGGGTACCTTCAATTATGGGTAGTATTTTCATTGTCTTTTGTGACATTACTGACCAATAAAAAGACCATTTTTTATTAACCTCACTACAACAAAACTCTGCATTTAACACAAATCAAGTTTTGGTGAGATTTTATTACACCTGTAACTGCACATGGTTGGTTCTCTAAAATTCCCTTGTATTTTATACTTTAAATAATAATGTATATAAGAGGGCAGCACTTCAAGAGAAGTAGAAAAGGATAAAAGAGGTACAGACTTTAAAGCAAAAGGAAACCCATCAAATCACTTCAATGAAAGCAAAAGCAATAACAGAAATGTCAAGAGTCTTCTGACTAATATTTGTTTTATCAAAATACACAGGTTTTTCTTTCTGAGATAAAGGAAAATACACACTTTTTTATCTCCCATTAGACTGTTTCGTTGTTTAAAAATACACTATTAGAGTTGGAAAAGCACACAAAGATGATTCAATTTGCCCACAGAATATGGGGGAAATGCTTTAATAGATGAGAATTTTAAATTATAATCATTGTACCCCATCTGATATACTAACCACTCACTCTAAAACCTGCTGTTTTAAGCAAAATCAGGGGATCATAATTCATGGTAGTAAATAATCAAGTTATCCTACTCTTCAACAAAATACTGGCTCCCTCTTTGCTTGAAAAATCTACTTAAATTTCAAATTATTTTGTGGATCTTGAACAAACATACATAGAAACAGAAAGTTCCTAAAATTCTTGACCTAAGCATTTATTAGCACGAAAATAAACTAAATTTTCATTTTGACTTGGATTTTGTCATGAAAATTTATCATACTTCTTAGTATTAAGCCTTCTCTTAAAAGCATTCTATTAATAGTATTAAACCAACAAGTCTCAAAAGTGATTAAGTTTACTTTAACTTGTATATTCTACTTCAGTCAAGGCTTGGCTTTAAGTATTCAGGCAAGTCACACAAATCAGCAGTGTTATATAAAGTACAAATTTACCTCCAGGCAGTCATTGAAGAGAAAGAGAGTTACTTGCTCTCCTCTGTCACAGGGGTGTTCACCTAGAGAAATTGTTTCAACTCGTTGGACTAAGCTTCGGTGAGAAGACAAAAGATTAGCCTGTATAGATTGAAAATATTAGTAAAAGAGATCACTCGGTAGTAATCTTTTTAAATTTATCATTTAAAAGAAAATGGTGCTGGGGTGCCTAGGTGGCTCAATTGTTTAAGCATCTGGTTTTGGCTTGATTTTGGCTCAGGTCATTATATCAGGGATCGAGCCCTATGTTGGGCTCTGTGCTCAGTGGGGAGTCTGTCTGAGATTCTTTCTCTCCCTCTCCCTCTCCCCACCCTCCAGAATAAATAAATCTTTAAAAATAAAAAAAGAAAAGAAAGAAAGAAAAAGAAGATGGTGCCAAGATTCTGTTTATATTAGAACTATAGAATCTAAATAATAAGAAAGAAAATAAATTGACAATCATCAAAAATGAATACTTACTGGGCATCCATCTACTTCATAAACAACATCAAAAATTTGCTTTTGGGCTTCTGTTTTTCTCTTATCTTCGTTAATATGGCTGAAAAATTAGTAAGTTTACTTTTAAAACTTCAACTTTTAAAACAATAAAATATGAAAACTGCATACAAAGATATCTCGTGTCACAAAAAATGATCTTCCATGTGTTTATCTTAATTTTGACAACTGAATCAGTTAAAATAGTTCCTAAAAGTAGTCTATTATATTAAAAAAAAATTCCATAGAATCCTTCAGAAAATTGTTTTACTATCTTCTTTCTGTATTATTTTTTTTTACTATACTCACTATATACTTCCTAAAATACAGTAAACCTGTACAAACTTCACATTAACAATTCTAAATGTAAGTTAAGGTTTTATGTAGGTCATTCCCCAGTCATATCCTAATCATTTTATTGAAACAAAAACTAAGACTAATGCTTCCATACAAGACAAAGTAAGAAGGAAAGGATACACCTTCTTTCTGAAACAACTAAAAAACTGTCAAGATATAAAGAAACAGGGTTGGGGGGCGCCTGGAGGCCTGATGGCCCCCCCATCAAAATAATACTGGTAAAGTACTCTACACACCAAACAAGTAAATTGGGCAAGTAATAACCTTTCAGCTTTCTCTTTTGTGAAGATTAAGTTAACGCTGTCTACTTCATAGTTTGTTGAAAGGATCAAGGTAAATTATGTGCAGTGTACGTTAAACCATGAAGTATTGAAAAAAACTATTATCCTGGCCCTAAAATAACAAAGCAAAAGCATGAAGGCTGGCTGATCGACATATAAAATATACAAAAACAAAAACAGAAGCTGTTATTCGCTAATTTGAACATTATTCTGCTGCTGGACCCTCTCTCTAGAGCTAAGTATTTTAAGAAACTCTGTTTCATATAGAAGCACCTCAGGAAATCTCAGAAATCATTTAACTAGATCTATTAAACATGTTGATGACATAATGTCCAAAGAGTTAAAGTGCCCTCACCCTCCATGAGGCAAAACAATAGCAACAGTTTTCATTTCTGATTATAATAATCAAGAAAGATCATTTCTGGGGTGCCTGGGCGGCTCAGTCGGTTAAGCATCTGCCTTTGGCTCAGGTCATGATCCTGGGATGGAGCCCCACATCAGGCTCCCTGCTCGGTGGGGAGCCTGCTTCTTCCTCTCCCTTTGTTGTTTCCCCTGCTGTGCTCTCACTCGGTCTATCTCAAATAAATAAATAAAATCTTAAAAAAAAAATTTTAAATGTAAAAAATAAAAATAAACAAAAGAAAGATCATTTAAGTTTATTTACTTATTTATTTTTAAATAATCTCTATACCCAACGTGGGGCTTGAACTCATGACCCCTAAAAAGATGTGGTACACACACATACACACACACACACACAATGAAATATTACTCAGCCATCAAAAAAATGAAATCTTGCCATTTGCAATGACATGGATGGAATTAGAGGGTATTATGCTAAGTGAAATAAGTCAATCACAGAAAGACAATTATCATATGATTTCACTCATATGTGGAATTTAAGAAACAAAAGAGAGCACAGGGGAGGGAAGGGAGAGAAAAAATAGATGAAAATAGAGAGGGAAGCAAACCATAAGAGACTCTTAATCATAGGAAACAAACTAAGGGTTGCTGGAGGGGAGGGAGGTGGGGGGCAACTGGGCATTAAGGAGGGCACGTGATGTAATAAGCACTGGGTGTTATGTAAGACTGATGAATCACTGAACTCTACCTCTGAAACTAATACACTATATGTTAATTAATTGAATTTAAATTAAAAAAAGATCATTTCTGATTAGAGCTACATCTCCAAGTTAGACCTACAGTAAGTAGCCTAAGTTTAACAATCAATCACCCCAAGTCAATTCCACAGAGTTTATCCTTTAATACATTTCCAACCAACCCTATCAATTTATACTCCATTAAATTCAAGGTAAGAAACAAAAAATCAAAAGTAAAAGTGAAAGAAGTATTATAAATCTTTTCTTTTTATTTCACCACAGTCAACTTTCTGAGTTACATTTGGGTAGTTTAAATGAAGACAAGAACACGCTATGCCTGGAGGTATATGAAGAACATGTCCAGAAGTATTTATAACATCACCAAATTTCTAAATCAATGTTACTTTCTATGCATAATAGTTTAATACCTTAAGAAATAAATGTTTTTGATTAATCAATGTATTCTTACAATACTTCTCTCATCATTTTAATGTGTAACTACATTAGAAAAATAATTTAGATAACACTTCATAAAAATTTGCTATTGATATTTTTTCTTCATTTATGATTCCTAATTGTTCTACAATTCCATTTTAATCTAGGAAACAATAAGAAATTGAAATAATGCACTTACGTCATTACTTCCTTTAATGATCCAATAGCTTTTTCTAGAGTGCTTTTGTCAGGATTTTCTTCGGCTGTATGCTTCTTAAGATCTGTTATGATAAAATGGTTTTTTTCCATGATTAGAAAAACAGTAGTAAAAAAAAAAATAGTTTTTTAATCTGACTTCAAAATACTGTCCATCTTGGAGCACCTGGGTGGCTCAGTTGGTTAAGTGTCTGACTTCGGTTCTGGTCATGATCTCAGGGTCCTGGAATAACAGCGCATGTTGGGAAGCTCAGTGGCAACCTGTCTGCTTATCCCTCTCCCTCTGCCTCTCCCAATGCTCTCTCTCTCTCAAATAAATAAAATCTTTTAAAAAAATAAAATAAAATGCTGTCCATTTGGATATAGGCTGATTTTTAAAGATATTATCTAAGCTTTACTTCAAAAAAAGTTTTTCCATGTTCTCTTAGGAGCTCTCTTCTTACACATTTGTTAGGGTTTCCACAATTTTATTGACTAAATTCTCAGAATATGTACAGATTTTCTTACACTGCTATCTCAATTCCCTTTTAGTAAAGCCTGGGGACACTTAGGTTCCTCAAGTTCTCTCCATAGTGCTGAATGAAAACACACAATCCTCAATTAGCTGAGAAGTCATTCTATGTTGTATTTCATGTTGGGGCCCATGGCTCTGTAACAGAGAGCATTCGGTAACCTTGAAAGCAGGTTTTGTTTAACTTAGAGGTTCATGACATGCTGACACTTTGACTCCTATAGAGGTTAAGCTCCCTAGGCCATGTTCCATCTGATGGTTCCCTAGTACCATGCCCACCCGATCTCATAAGAGAAAGGCTTAGAAACTATTTGATGGATTTCTAAATATACTTAATAAAAAATAATGAAGTAAATAATCCAAAAAAATGCTTTATAAAGTTAAATCACACTGCTTTGTTCGTGTAGTCTCCTTATAATCTAAAAAAAACAGGACAGCTTTTAAAGATGGGGGAAATCATCTTATAAACTAGCTATTCTAACCTACATTAGATGATCTTAAAAATAACAAAAATGATCAATTTTTTAAATTACTACAACTCATACATTACCCAAAATATTTTAAAGAGAAAAATAGATTAAACAGTCACAAAATTAGCCTATCTGCTGCTATCCATAATAATGTGCTTAAGGTTTGGGGAACAAAATGCTTTATTACAGACTTATTCCTGTTTGTAATTTAGTTTTCATACTTAATTTTAAAAAATATAAAAACTGACCCTGTCCTAAAAATATTCACTACTTTAGTCAGCTAAATGTAAAGGCATATACATATGCTTTTCTTTTGCTAGAGGCAAAATTTATTCATAAAAATTAAATGTAAAAAAATAAAATTAACTCTCTTTAAGCTCCAGAATTCAGGCTTCAAGAGTGTTCTGCACAATCTAAGAAAGAAAGTAAGCATTAGATCAAGTATACAGATTTTAGAAAGATTCAGAGAAGGACTAAATAACTTGAGACATGAATCATCTCTCATCTTGTGATTTTTGTGGGTGAATTTTGTTTACATGGATATAAATTGATTTTGAATTAATGACACACCATGAAATAAACGTAAGCCTTTTGGTAGAGAAACTAAAAAAAAATAGTCAATGTAATTGATACAGTAACAAATAAAGCATTTTAGGAGACTTAATTATTATAGTACCTGTGATTTTAAGATTATCCATAAAGGTATTTTCTATGTAAGACATAAACTTTAATGCTGAAATCTAAGAAAACTATGAAAATGAAAAGAATTTCAAAATTTTTAGAGCAAAACAATTCCATAAAAAACCATCCAAAGTAGTCTGAAAACAGATAAGACAAGTACCATTTAAAAGTAACGCAACACTGGGTAACCTCTGTACTGGTCGAATGAGAAGTTCAACAAGGCTCTGCCGTCCACATTCTGGTTTAGCTTGGTTTATCTGAAAGGAATTAACAATAAAAAAGGTTTTCTGCAAAGATTAAACGCCTTACATTTATTAGATTATACCCTATCACTAGTGCCCTGAAAAGAACTAATAGAAGAGATGGGGTGGCAGTTGTCCTCTGGAAGATTACTGTGGTTAAATAATCTTCCAGGACCTGAATTGACCTCCTGGCCACTCAAGGATTAGCATCTTAAACACAAAGTGAGTTTCTCTGCACACTCGTATAAATTCCATCTTAAGTTTCTCTTGAGTCTACACCATTCACAAGAAAAAACAAGTTTTTGAGGTATTAAGTATGCTGATACCACTGAGTAAACAAAATAAAGCACTGGTAAAGAAAAAAAAAATCCCTAAAGGAAAAACCAAATCACACTGACAAATGTTTGAGAACTAAAACATGTATAACTTTAAAAAATATGAGTACCTACAGACAACATTTTCACTCACTCAGCTCCCTCATGGCCTCTGCTATCTAAATCTTCTGAGGCCTAATATCACTGCCACTCTCAGGTCTGGCTAAAGTTAACAGGTTAAACATTAAGGTGTTCTTACAATGGATAGATTTTTACTAAAAGCATAATTTAAATGAACTCCTTCAGAAATTATCCTCAGATTTTTTATTTGAAAGAAACGCATGTTACCTTCAGAAAAGCATGAAATCTTGGTTTCTGTTTTTCACATTTAATAATTGTTTCCTTGCTCATTTCAAAGAAGTTTACAAAGGGAGGGTAGGTTTTTACCAAATCTTTTGACTAGGAAGAAGAAGAAAAAACACATTAATTTGTTATACATGTTACCCTTAGATAATGAAATTTAAAGCCAAATAATAAATAGTCAAAATCTGATATACTGGATGCAAAAGAGAAATTTAAAACGAGTTTCTTCTTAAGTTAAATACAGAGATTTTATGAATTTCTCATTAATGAGTTAATTGCTAACCAAAATGCATCAACTGGTACATATAGCCTAAAACTTGAAAAGCAAAGACTCAGATTCAAAAGTATACTAATGCTTATTGTATTGACATAAACATGACAAAGTTTAGGGCGCCTGGGTGGCTCAGTTGGTTAAGCGACTGCCTTTGGCTCAGGTCATGATCCTGGAGTCCCGGGACTGAGTCCCGCATCGGGCTCCCTGCTCAGCGGGGAGTCTGCTTCTCCCTCTGACCCTCTTCCCTCTCGTGCTCTCATTCTCTCTCTCTCAAATAAATAAATAAAATCTTTTAAAAAAAATGACAAAGTTTAAAAACTTCTGTAAGTTCAGAATATAGTAATTAGTACCTAAGAACATGCTATTATTTATTGACGAATCCAAACCACCATTTAAAAGATCAATTATATTACCCAAAATCTCAACAACAAAAAAAGGGAAAATGTCTTGGCTAACTGAGGAGACTAACAGGTATCAAAAAGGTATGTGACACAATAGCCAAAATATGGAAAGAGCCCAGATGTCCATTGAGGGATGAATGTATAAATAACATGTGGTACACACACATACATACAATGAAATATTACTCAGCTATCAAAAAGAATGAAATCTTTCCATTTGCAATGACGTGGACGGAACCACAATATGGTATTATGCTAAAGTGGAAGAGTCAATTAGGGAAAGATACCATATGATTTCACTCACATGTGGAATTTAAGAAACAAAACAGATCAACATAGGGGAAGGGAGGAAAAAATAAAATGAGATGAAAACAGAGAGGGAGGCAAACCATAAGAGACTCTTAACTCCAGGAAACAAACTGAGGGTTGCTGGAGGGGAGTGGGTGGGAGGATAGGGTAACTGGGTAATGGGCAGTAAGAAGGACACTTGAAGTAATGAGCACTGGATGTTGTACGCAACTGACGAATCACTAAATTCTACCTCTGAAACTAAAAAAAAAAAGATGTGACCAAAAAAAAGAAGAGAAAAAGATATGTGACAATAATCTGCATATTTGGAATTCTCAACCAACCAGAAAAAAAACATGTAAGACTATATGGTAAGGATGGAAGTTAGGAGAAGGTTTCAGAAATGTATGTGCCAGAACTCAAGGAATTGAAACCTATAAATTATATTCAAAGAGACTGAAAGACACTTATAAACCCTATTCACAGCACCTCTTTCAAAATGAATTTACTTTACTTGATAAAATTAAGTTATGTGGTTCCTACCCTAGTTTAAAAAAAAAAAAGGCAGTTATGCAGAGGAAACACAATGACAGCAAAAAAATGGCATCAACTATAAAGGAAAAAAAACCTCAATTACAGAAAAATTTTTAAAAAAATCAATCTGTGACAGGCAAATAACTTGACATATATAAAATGATTACAGCACAGTATGACAATTAGTGTTCCTAACAATGACCTTGGGGTTTCAAGAAAGTATTAACTTATATATAGCAAATATGTTTCAGAAGAACACTTCCAATATATTTTACAAACACAACTGTGTCAAAGTTTTGAAAGCTCTCACATTTAAACAAGTAACTGTCATTCCCTGCAAGTACTTAATGAGATGATGCTTTAACCTGAAATCCTAAAGAAGAAATAAAATACTTACATATTTGAGAAAGATGTCACCAATGCTTTTGCTCTCATCCCAATTAACAATAAGGTCTTCAAGATCATCCTAAAAGAGCACAGATTGAAACATTTAAGCTTGAACTTGACAGTCCCTTAAACATCTTTCAATATTTTTGAAATATTTGAAAGAAGCACCTTACAAAGTATCTTAATTTGATGTGCAAAACAATTAATATAACACATTCTTTCTCCTTAACAAGGAATTAACTTTTTGACTAGAAGGAAAATATCCTTTGAAAAATAATTAAGAAAATATAAAGAGTGTCAAGTCAGTAAGACTAAGCCTAACTTTCCAAACTGATATGACAGCTCAACATCTTTTCCTATTAACTATAAAGCTGATTGCCATTATTAATTATAGAAAACTACTTTCAATCTTGCTGCTAAAGCATCTTACTTAACATCAGCCATTTGAAACTGTAATCTCTAACAGGTCAGCAAATTTTACTTGAAGGGCCAGATGGTAAATATTTTAAACCTTGCAGACCATATGGTTTCTGTTACAAGTACAAGTTCTTATACTGTGGAAGCAGCCAGACAATTCATAAGCAACTGAGTGTGGCTGTGTTTCAATAAAACTTTCTTTACCAAAACAAGCAAAACTACGAAAGTCCGAAACTGACTGGATTTGGTCCATCAACCATAGTTTGCTAATTCCTGATCTATAAAACTTTTCTATCATCATCCTAAAATAAGAAATATTTATAAAAAATTAAGACATGTAAAAGCATTATAAGATAATAAAACACAAATCAGATGATAAAATGAGATGCGAAGAAATTACACATTCCCTAACTGAAATTCTAAAAGTGACTTGAAAGTAGAAATTAATCAATAAGCTCTTATAACCAAAAGTTCTCCAAGTGTCAGCGACAGGCCCCCCAGGACATCTTTTTAATGGGATTCATGAGATTAAAACTATTTTCATTACAATACTAAAGCTCTATTTGGTTTTCCACTCTAATTCTCTCAAATCATACAACAGAGTTTCCCACAGGCTACATGATGTGTGATACTGCAAAAGACTGAATTCAGAAGCAGATATGAGAAAGTCTTCTCTTAAACCAGACAGAACAAATGTAAAACAGTGTCCCTCTTCTCACTATTTCTGCTTTGGAAATTAGTTACTCTCCATAAAGATTATGTTATTTATGCTACCCACATAATGAGTTATTATTGCTTTAAATGTATTAATATAATTTTTAAAATGGATTGGATATCCACATGCAAAAAGATGAACCCTCACTTTACCCAAAAATTCAAAATGGATTATAGACCTAACTATAGAGCTAAAACAATACAACTTTTAGAAGAAAACATAACCTTTAAAACCTTAAGTTAGGCAAAATTTCTTTTTTTTTTTTTTTAGATTTTATTCATTTATTTGAGAGAGAGAGAGAGAGAGAGCACATGAGATGAGGGAGGGTCAGAGAGAGAAGCAGACTCCCTGCTGAGCAGGGAGCCCGATGTGGGACCCGATCCCGGGACTCCAGGATCATGACCTGAGCCGAAGGCAGTCACTCAACCAACTGAGCCACCCAGGCGCCCCCAAGTTAGGCAAAATTTCTTATATACGAAAGCAAAATCACAGTACATAAAAGAAAAAATGTATAAACTGGACTTCATAAAAATTAAAAGACACCATTAAAAAAATGAAAAGACAACCAACAATAGACTGAGAGAAAATACGTACAAAACACGTAGCTGATAAAGGACTTGTATCTAGCATTTATAGAGAATACGTGCAATTCAGTAAGACTGACAACCCAGTCAAAAAATGAGTGACAGAACTAAACACACATTTTACCAAATATAAAAATGACTAATAAGCATGTGAAAAGATGCTCAACATCATTTATCATTAAGGAAATGTATATCAAGGCCACAATGAGGGGCACCTGGCTGGCTCAGTCAATGGAGCGTGCAACTCTTGATCTTGGGGTTGTAAGTTCAAGCTCCACATTGGGTGTAGAGATTACTTAAAAATAAAATCTTAAAAAAAAAATAAAATAAAATAAAATAAAATAAAATCTTAAAAAAGCCAAAAAACAAAAAACTGCTATGTATAAGAAAAATAAGAAAATACACAAATTTTTTAAATTTGGGTGATGAGATTATGGGTATTTTTTTTTTTTAAGATTTTTTTATTTATTTATTTGTCAGAGAGAGCACAAGCAGGAGAAGCAGCAGAGGCGGAGGCAGAAGCAGGCTCCCCGCTGAGCAAGAAGCCTGATATGGGACTCATTCCCAGGACCCTGGGATCATGACCTGAGCCGAAGGCAGACACTTAACTAAGCCACCCAGGCGTCCCAAATTATAGGTATTTTTTATTCCTCTTTTCTTTACTCCTGATTTTACAAATGTTTGACAACATGCATTGGTTTCGTGGTAAAAGAACACAGGCTTTGAAAACTTTTTTTTTTAAAGATTTTATTTATTTATTTTAGAGAGAGACGGAGATTGTGCAAGTAGTGGGGGGAAGGGAGGAGCAGAGGGAGAGCCAGAGAATCTCAACCAGACTCTGCTCTGAGCATGGAGCCTAATGTGGGACTCGATCTCATGACCCTGAGATCATGACCTGAGCCAAAACTAAGAGTCGGATGCTTCACCAACTGAGCCACCCAGGAGCCCCACACACTCTGAAATTTTTAAATGTGTGACAAACCTGAAATCAGCTAAAAAAACAACTAGTAGTTGCAATATTGTTAATCCAACTTTCTAGAAAAAGCTTAAAGAATTATGTTACACATGAGAAAACTAAAGAGTGACAATCACTTCCAAAGCTCCAGTGAATCAGAGAACATGATTTTCTCAATTGAGATTATGATCCTGTACACATAACAAGTATAACATTTTATATTAGAAGAGCACTTGCACACCCAGACTGGCTAAATGACTGACACAAATTCAACCTGATTCACAAATTAGTGGTAGAACATCAAGCTGAAAACCTACTTGCCTTCCCACTCTACCTTTATGCCTCCCAGTGTTTCCTATGAAAGAAAAAATACACCAAGAATACTTTTCAAATATTCAGAAACCTAACTGGAAACAAGGATAAACTAGGCGGGAAACTTTGTTAGCTTTTTAAGAAAATAAAGATTCCTTCAGAGTTCCCTTTAGATCTAGAAATAACTGAAATATGATTGTGGATTTTGATAAAGTACAAAATATGTTTGATAAATTGCATTTTTATTAACTTATAGATCATTTATATTTTTGTTTATAATGTGCAGTAAAATCAAAAGTAACTTAATGTACTTGTTTGAAAACATTCTATAATTCAGATTGATCTTTTTATTGGAATATGGACTAAACATTAATATGAGGTGTTCTGAGGAGAAAATTGATCAGTTTACTCAAGCATCTCATAGGAAAAATAAGAGGAAATAAAGCTTAACTACTTTTTAAGAGTTCAGGTAAACCTGCCCCAAAATTACTTAACTATGAGAGACTAATACCTGTAAATCACAAACCCTTCATCAAAGGAAAAATCATTAAAAAGATAGCATTGTCTTATGTGGTTTTTGTATTTATCTGACCAGAAATAGAGAAATGAACAAAATGGTCTCTAAGTCTCTTTCAGCTTCAGTTATTCAAACAATCCAAAGCAAAACAAAATATACAACCTGAGAGAAACAGTAAGAAAATAAGAAAATTAGCACAAGCAACCACATGTCTCTATAGAAAAGACATGAGAAGGCTTAATTCCTTATTTTCAGGATTCATAAAAAAAAAATAAAAAACAGGCAAACAACAAATATTAATAAGGCATTGTAGCAAAGGAACATAAATGATTCAAAGAAATAAATAAGGGAATAAGTTTTAGGTACAAAACTCATTTAGCCAATCAATAGTACCTGAAAAAAGCATTATATAAACACAATCCAAAAAGAATTACTACCAACCTAACATATAAAATTTACCTTTATCTTTGTGTGCACATCAAAGATATCAGGGATACTACCAAAAATAGTCTTAATCTCTTCTGGTGCAAGGATAGGCCCACCACGTTGTCCTTCCTCTTCCAATGGTACTTGAAATAACTAAAACGTTAAAAAAAAAAAAAAAAAAAGACTAGTTTAGATAGATTGTGGGAAAAGGAAAAAAAGTAAACATATAGACAGTGATAGGAGATGTTGAGGGGTGCCTGGGTAGTTCGGTCAATTAAGTGTCTGCCTTCGGCTCAGGTCATGATCCCAGGGTACTGGGATCAAGTCCCTTATCAGGTTCCCTGCTCAGCGGGGAGTCTGCTTCTCCCTCTGCCTCTCCTCTCCCGCCGCCCCCCACCCCACTGTGCATGCACGCCCTCTTGCTCTCTCTCTTGCAAATAAAATCTTAAAAAAAAAAGAGAGAGGAGATGTTGATGGAAAAGAAAAAAGTAATTAAAAAAATACTTCTCCCTAAATTTGAACCTTTTTTCTTGTAACATTTTCTATTTTATCCTATTTATTTATACATCTGTGTGTGTATACATACTCTTATAATAAAATGTTGTTAGAATCTAATAAAAGTTTATCACACAGTTCTACAAATCATTAAAATTGTGAGAATACAAGAGTAATTTCTACTTTCTATTCAGGTTACTAAGGAAGACAATAAGCAATCAGTTATTTCCAGACATACACTTAATATAAGTATTAAATGTCTTGACATAGTAGTGTAGAAACTTGGTTTAATAGAAAGAGACTGGATTTCAAACTAGAAGACATGTTTATGTCTATACTGCTGCTTGTATCAATCTAAAAAAATAAAAGGAAAAAACCTAGAATAAATGAGTTTAGCAAGGTCACAGGTCAGCATAGAGATGTGCACATTCTCTCTCTCAACACACACAATCACATTCCTATATACCAGTAATGTACAAATGGAAACCAAAATTCAAAAAGCAGTTCACTTACAATAAAAAATTAAAATTAGTATAAATATAATAAAATATGTATATGATGCTGAAAATTATAGAAAGCTAATAAAAGAAGTCAAAGACCTAAATAAATGAAGACATGGATCGAAAGATTCAACATAGTAAGAAATGTCCATTCTTCCCCAAATTGATTTATGGATTTAACCCAATGTCAATCAAAATTCTAGGACTTTTTGTAGATAAAGAAAACCTAATTCTACAAATTTATATGTAAAGGCAAAGAACACATTAGTATAAAGCTGCAGTATTCATGACTGTGATATTGGTGAATGGAAAAACATAAAAGATTAATAGAAGAGAAAAACGTCCACAAACCAACATACACAAAGATGATCAAGTAATTTTTGACAGATCCAATGGTGGAAGGCTAGTCATTCAACAAATGGTACTAAAACACCATTTGCCCTAGGCAAAAAAATAAACTAAAAATGGATCACAGACCTAAGCAAAAAACCTAAAACCATGAAACATTTAAAAGAAAACATAAGAGAAAATCTCGTAATTTAAGCTTAGGTTAGAGCTTTTAAATATGAAATCAAAAGCATGAACTATAAAACAAAAAAACTGATAATTAGACTTCAACAAAATTTAAAAGTTTTCAACCTAGAATAAAAAGACATGCTAAAAATGTCCACAACGGCCAAACTATGGAAAGAGCCCAGATGTCCATCAACAGATGAATGGATAAAGATGTGGTGTGTATACACATACATATACACATACATATACACACACACACACACACACACACAATGGAATATTATGTAGCCATCAAAAAAATGAAATCTTGTCATTTGCAATGACGTGGATGGAACTAGAGGGTATTATGCTAAGCGAAATAAGTCAATCAGAGAAAGACAAGTATCATATGATCTCACTGATATGAGGAATTTGAGAAACAAGACAGAGGATCATAGGGGAAGAGAGGGAAAAATGAAACAAGATGAAACCAGAGAGGGAGACAAACCATAAGAGACTCTTAATCTCAGGAAACAAACTGAGGGTTGCTGGAGTGGAGGGGCGGGTGGGAGGGATGGGGTGGCTGGTGATGGACACTAGGGAGGGTATGTGCTATGGTGAGCACTGTGAATTGTGTAAGACTGATGAATTACAGACCTGTACCCCTGAAACAAATAGTACATTATATGTTAATTTTAAAAAAAAAGACATGCTAAAGACTAGGACAAAAATATTTGCAAATCACATATCTGACAAAGGACTAGTATTCAAAATATATAAAGAATTCTCAAAACTCAGGAAGGAAACAACTCAATTAAAAATGGACAAAATCTTGAGCAGTTATTTCAACAAAAAAAGATAGATATTCAACATCATTTATCATTACAGAAATGAAAATTAAGGCCATAACATACCATTACATACTTATCTGTATGGCTAAAATAAAAAGTACTGATAATATCGAAACTGGTTGGGATGTAATCAATCGGAACTCTTACACATTGCTGGTGGAAATGCAACATTGTATAACCCCTCTGGAAAAGGGTTTTACAGTTTCTTATAAAGTTAAATATTACCATATGATTAAAGAACTTCTGGGTGTTTACTCAAGAGCAATGAAAATTTATGTTCACATAAAACCTATACAAAAATGTTGATAATAGCTCTTTTTATAATCACCCAAACTGGAAATAACCCAAATGTCCTTTAAGGATCATCAGATAAAATTGTGGTACATCCATACAGTGGTATACTATTCAGCAATATAAAGGATCAAACTATGCATACAGACAAGTTAGAAGAACCTCAAAGGCTAAAAAATGCTAGCCCCAACAGGTTATATTAACTATAATCCCATTCATAGGACATTCTCAAAAAAGACAATTTTTTTTTTTTTAAAAAAGACAAAATTATAGTGATGAAGAAGAAATCAGTGGTTACCAGGAGTTGCAATCAGGAAAGGGTGTGACTTATAAAGGAATAGGAAGTACCAGGAGTTTTTTGGGGTATGGAAATTATCTATATTCTGATTGTAACAGAGGCTATACAAATTTTTGCATGTGTTAAAGTTCATAGAACTGTACAAAGAAAGTCAATTTCACTGTATGATAATTTAAAAAGTAAAACTTTAAAAAGCCAATTGACTATTCAAACTAAAAATAATAATGTATTGTTGGGGTCTTAATATATGTGGAAGTAAAATGAATGCCAATAGCACAAAGGGGAGGAGATGAAGTAAAAAACAAAACAAAACAAAAAACAACAAAAAAGATAAAGATAAAAGGAAAATACATTATAAATAGTAAGGAACTAAATGAAGATTATGAATTGTTACTATTTTTAAGAACTACAATTCTGTAAGTTTATCCAAAATATTTATATGTACATATATATATTGTAAATAAATATATTTTTCAGGCCTTCCATTTCTGCAGTTATGATGAACCCTACCTGCTAAAAACAACTAAAAATACCGAAGTAAGAAAGAAGAAAAGAAACATGGTTACATTTACATAGTTTGTGCACCTACACATATATGATAAAACTGTAAGGGTAATGATAAGCACAAAATTCCAAATGATAATTAACTTCTGAGGAAAAGGGAAAGGATTAGGATTCGGGGGGAAAAAACAAAATAGAGGTTTCAAAGATATTTGTAATCATTTATAAACATTCCTTTATCTAGTCAACATTTAATTAAAAATCTTTAACAAAAATATTCAGACAACCAAAATACATCAAGGTTCATTAAAAACTCCCAATAGTCTTAAGACATGTTAAACTATCCAAAAGCAGTTCTCCTGTGTTTGGCTATATAAAATTAGATAGCCAAAAACTTCTGATTCTACCTTTCCAACATTTCTCAAATTTATCCTGTTTTCATTTTCACTGATTTTATCCTAAGAAGTTCAGGTCCTCAAAATCTCTAACCAAGACTGCTGAAATAACCTTCAAATTGGTCTCGCCTCCACAATTTCCCTTCTCCAATACTTCCTTCAAAGTGAACCAAGTTATCTTTCTAAATCCAAGTCAGATATCATCTTCCCCTTCCCATCAAAAATTCTTCTCTAGATTAGATGACCTAACATACTATACAAAGGCCTTCTCTGGTCTGGCATAGGCAGCCTTACCTCAAATCTCACTATATCCAAACCCCACCCCCTACTCTAAGTCCCCTTAACCACCCTAAACTCTAACGCCCCTAGACTAGTCATAATACCTTGAATGATACACATCTTCAATTGTCTGTACTGTTTGCACAATCTCAAATACACTTCCTACCCATATTCTTTGCATGTACTTATCATACTCATACTTTAAAATTCACTTCAGGGGTGCCTGGGTAGCTCAATTTGTTAAGCATCCAACTCTTGGTTTCAGCTCACATCATGGTCTCAGGGTCGTGGGATGGAGCCCTATCGGGCTCAGCACAGAGTCTGACTGACATTCTCTCCCTCTCCCTCTGCCCCTCCCCTTGCACATGCACCATGCACGCTCTCTCTCTCTCTCTCTCTCTAAAATATATAAATCTTTAAAAATAAATAAAATTAACTTCAATTTTTCTATTCTTTATGATACTCTTTCCAATGTTCGATCCATTGAAACTTCCAGCCCAACACCTTCCCTAAGCTGGAAGAGTAAAACTCTCACCTCACATATTTCCAAATACCTTATCTAAACCCCCCTCATGATGCTCATAACCTTCCATTTGGTATTATAATTAGGTATGCATGTTTTATCTCCTCTTCCAGTCTAAGCTCCTCTAAAACAGGAATCCTCTTTAACACTTGGCACAATAATTTATATTAACAGGCACCCACATATTACACGAAATAAAGAAGATTCTGGATATTCATTTAATTTGGGGCCTAAATTAAGTTTTTCCAAATCCAATTTCAAAAAAAGGGAAGGGAAAACATCAGTCCTAAAATAAAGCTGAAGGGAACACCATTATGAATTTAGACCACAATCTTTTAAATAAAATCTTAGGTGAGTTTATAGTAAGCATAGTGGTATGAGACCATCTACAGTCTAATAATTCTAAGGGCTTTTTTTTAAAGGCATTTTAGTGAGTTTAATTGATATGCAAATTAGAATTCTGAAACTCCAGTGCATTTACCATGGCCTGAAAGGATTTACATTTCTGGGTAATAAATGCTAACAAAGTACATGAACAGTATATGCCAAGGGGATTTTCTGCTACTCAACTACATTTTGGCTGACTATAAAAACTTCAACAAGAAACTCATCTAGAATGATTTCCCTTGAGGAAGAGCAAAGCTGAGTTAAAACAAGTAAAGTTTAATACAGCAGAGGGCCTCATAAACCCTTGACTACTGCTAAACAAATTAACTGTGAAGAATAACCTCTCCATGAATACCAGGAAAGAAGTCTTTCCATTTCTTATCCATGCATTTTATCAATGGCACAAGCAACTAAAGGCTATTATATTGAACACTAATGAGTTATATTAAGAATTCAAATAGAGGTCAGTTAAAAATTAACCCCAATCAGAATCTCCCTATTATTTTTCTATTCAAAGACAAGCTTGATGGTATCAACTTTATTTTCCTGACAATCTCCTTCATTACCTAAAACAAATCTATTCCCTCTTTCTGCAGATGCCAAAATAGTGTCCTAAATATTGCCTTTTAGAACTCTGAATTTCAGTTTATTCTTAATATCTTCTTCAATCTCATCCTATAAGGATCAATTAGAATTCTTTTTCTTCAGCAGTAACTTCACAGTACATTTTAATGATAAGCAATGAGTTAACATTTATGATTAACCACTGCATACTTTAAGAAACTTGACACATGAAAGGATTACCAAAAAAATTACATCCATATTGTTATGCTTCATTGCTATTGCTTTTCACATATATACAGTACTAAATAAAGCAATGACTCCTAGAATGCACACTTTCAGAAAAAGTTACCTACCATATCCACGTATAAATATAAATGCAGTATCGCGACAGAAAACCTGCAAAGTTCCGTATCAAATAAAACTTGGTCCCCTCTAAGATCATCTACTGAGGATCCTTCTCTTTTTTAGTCACTATAAAGAAGGTGCTATTTCTGTAAGAATAAAAGCTACTATTACAGTATGGCATTTCCCTAATAGCAGTTTTTTGTCATATATTTTCATTTTTAATATGTTCAAATTCTATGCTTATATAATTTTCTTATAAGAAATAGTATCTCTTAGATTTTTTAGTTAAGAACACTGGAACAGGGATCATTTTGCAACAAACTTTTACCTGAATAATTGTGGCCAATATATTTACGTAATTACTTTCAGTTTGATAAAGTTCTTTTGCAACTTGCCACCTGGCTGACTGTTTCGAAGGAACCGGAGTAGAATTTTTAGAAGACTTAGTACAAGACTTCGGTGTTTCTAAAAGGTAAAAAGGAAGAAAGATTTAATGAGAAACCAGACATTGTACAGATTTAACAACAAAAAAAGGGGAAGGATATCCACTCTGAGAAATATACCCATTTAGATTTTCATTAAAGTAAAATTTCCTCATAGGATAAGGCCAGAAAAAAATAATGGTCAAAAGTATCAATGGCTCCAAACTGACAGACATTATACTAAATAACTGGCGTGTACTCTTCAAAAAAGTCAACGTCACTAAAAACAAAGTTGAGGAACTATTCCAGATTAGAAGGCACAAAAGAGAGAGAACAACATATGATCCTGGATTGGACCTTAGACCAGAAAAAAAAAAAACTTTTTTCTTTTCCTAAAAAGGGTATTAGTAGAACAACTGATTAAAATTAAGAGTCGGTCATACTATTAATGTCAATTTCCTAATTAAAATACCTCTACTGTAGTGGTACAAGAAATGTCCCTCTATTTTGGGAAATACACATTTAAGTATTTAGAAGAAAAGGCACATCTTATCTGCAACTTAGTCTCCAACAGTGCAGAATACGTGGGCAAATAGAGAGAATGAATGAATGCTAAAGCAAACATGGCAGAATATTTCCATTTGGGAATTCTGAGAAGAGTACTGGAATCTCTGTACTATTTTTGCAGCTTTTTGCAATCTGAAATTATTTCAAAATAAAAAGCTCAAATAATAAAATGAAAAAAAACTATATAAAAATATTTAAGTTTAAGGATAAAAAGGTTATGATTACATAGTAACAGAAAACTTATCATATATATAGAGGAAGCCTTCCTCAACAAAACACAACATCAACTGCAAATTCTGTTAGTTTTTAACATAATATAAAACATCCAGTCCAACACAAAGTGGGAGGACACATTAGTATACTTCATATGTATTTCAAAAAAATGAAATCATAAGCTTTCATAAAAGCTTAAGATATACTTTCTTACTATAGATATGGTTAAAGTACTTTAACATAATGTACAGAATCTCCTAATGGCAAGTTTTTAAATAGGAAAACAAATGTATAATATACAGTGACATGAAAAAACAATATATAGACCCAGCATATTAATTTTACTCAATGATTATTTTAAATATTAAAATAATGATGTATACAAGAGTTTGAATGCTTTCTAAAGCTAACAGACCAAAGATTTTCCCACTTGTACATTATTTCAGACTACTATCCAGACCCAAGAGCTTCTGCCATTACAAATGTCAAGAGGAAAAATCTGACATATATTGACTCAATTTAACTATTGTGTTTACACAGTGACCTACAAACTGAAGATTCTATATAGAGTACCTAATATATTAGAATAGTTGTCATGTCTATTTTCTTCTCCTATCCCCTAAACTGCATATTCAAGCTTCAGTCCTTTATGATCAGCTCTTAACATCTCATGCCCAGTATGTCCATCACAATTATGGAACCAATAAATTCTCACACCTATGGATCTAATCATAATCTTTCCACCCAAGCACCAAGTTCAATTTTTCCAAATACCCACTGGGCATGTGTACCTCAATTTAACCTGAATAGTCTCTAAAACTATACTATCTTCCTCCAAAATAAGGACTTCCTATTTTCGCCAAGGTAACATTTCTTCTATTTTAATACTCTGCTGTCATCTCTTATTCCCTTCCTGTCACTCCATTCCATCAGTATCTCCACAGTGCTTCCTACTTTCCTTTCCAACCATTAGCAACCCTGGTTCAGGGCTTTATCACCTTGTGGCCCAAGCCACTGTAGATTACTTCATGGTCTGGCCATCTCTGAACTGTCTTCCTTTTAATCATTCTTCAGAATAATCCACTACAAATTGCCTACTCAACCAATTACTCTACTGCTCAATAGTTTCTAAAGTTCCTTGTTGATGACAATATGCAGTCCAGACATACCAGTCTGATTTCAAAGTCCTCTAATATTAGGTCCCAATTAACCTTTCCAATTTAATTATTACTCCTCCATTCTCATAAGCAAACTGACCTATTCACTATCCCTTAAAATATGAATTTGTATAGTATTATTTATATTCTTGCTCCCCTCATTTCTCAACTCCACCTCAGTTTTCTGGGCCTTCTATAAATTGACACTCAACTCTTTCCAAGAATATTTAGTAAGTACCTACTCTATACTAGGTATTGAGAACAAAGCAAAGGATTAGACAAGGTTCTTGTTCTCTTAAAGCTTACATTCTGGTGAAACAAACAAAAAAATATAATTTCTAACAATGATAACTACTACTGAAGATACAACCAGGTAATGGTTTACTGAGAAGTGCTGGAACAGGGACTTAACTTTGCAGAAAGCCCAGTAAGATTTCTTTAAGGCAAAGAGGTCAAGTATAAAGTTCCAGAGGTATGAATGTAGTGGAAATATCCAAAGAATAACAGAGATAGTGTGACTAAAGCTTAGAGTATTACAGGAGAGCATGATATCGTCATATGAGGTTGGATGTAGGTGAGAAAGGATCACATAGAAACTTGAAAGCTATGGTAATACAAACCCACTGAATGACTTCAAGCACAGGACAGGCATGATTTAATTTATATGTATTTTAGAGACCTAAGTGCTGCATATAGAAAGGCAAAAATGGGGGCACCTGGCTCAGTTGGAGGAGCATGTGACTCTTAATCTCAGGGTTGTGAGTTCAATTCCCACATTGGGTATAGAGATTTCTTAAATAAATAAACAAACTGGGGCGCCTGGGTGGCTCAGTAGGTTAAGTGTCTGCCTTCAGCTCAGGTCACGATCCCAGGGTCCTGGGATCGAGCCCTGCATCAGGCTCCCTGCTCAGCGGGGAGCCTGCTTCTCCTTCTCACTATGCCTGCAGCTCTGCCAGTTGTGCTCTCTATCTCTCTGTCAAATAAATAAATAAAATCTTTAAAAAAAATAAATAAAAATAAACTTAACAAAAAAGGCAAAAATGAATATAGAGAAACCATTTAGGAGACCAACATAATCATCTAAGAGAGATCCATTTTATAGAAAAGGCTGATAAAGGAGTAGAGAGTGGTAGAGAGAATCAAAATCAAGAGTTCTAATTTGATTATGTTAGGTTTCAGATATGTATTAGACATGGACAAGTAAGTATTAAGTAGGTAGTTGGACAGGGAAGAAGACACATTGGGGAGTCAACAGCATATGAATGTTTCTAAAGCCATGGAATTAAATGAGACCACTTTGGGAGAATACAGTGGAGAAGAAATGACTCAGGAATAACATTCAAGTTAGAGCTGGAGAAGTTAGGCAAAGGAGAATGAGAAATGAGGTACAAAAGCTAAGAGAAAAAAACTATCTCCAGCAAGAAATAGCTATTTGTGTGTTAGATGCTGCTGACTGCATAAAAACTGTCAGTCGCGGGGCACCTGGGTGGCTCAGTTGGTTAAACGTCTAACTTCAGCTCAGGTCATAATCTCAGGGTCCTGAGAACGAGCCCCACATCAGGCTCCAGGCTCAGTGGGGAGTCTGCTTGTCCCTCTGCCCCCTCCCCCAGCTCATGCTCTCTCTCTCTCAAATAAATAAATAAAATCTTTAAAAAAAAAAAACTGTCAGTCTCCTCAGCAAGAGCAATTTCATGCAGTAGGGGCTTAAGTTCAATTGGAATGGTTGGAGAAGACAATGAAAAGCAAGGAAATGACACAACAGATCAAGGTAATTCTTTGAAGAGTACTCATGTAAAAGGAAAGAGAGAAATGAAATAGTTAAGTAGAGAGTGTCATGGGGTCAAGAGGTTTTGATTATTTCTTAACTCTAAAATACACAACATATTGTGTGCAGATTAAAAAACAAAAATAGAGGGAAAAATTGATGATCAAGAGAGAAGAGTTAATTGTAGAGCCTCCCTGTATCATTTGAGAACAAACTGAGCTCACCCTCCACTGATTTCATCGTACCTATTTTCTCCATTAATTCATGTGACACCTTCTGTGATCTTGTTTTGCTAATGTTAAGAATTTGCTCTTTGAACAGCTCTACCATTTTCTAGAGTGATAGACAAATAAAATATAGAAAGCACTTAGCATATAGTAGGCAATCATTAAATGGAAGCATTTTTATGTGTCTCTTCTCCTCAGCTAGAACAAAGGTGATAAAAGTCAGAACCTTTCATATTCCCACTGTGGTAGTGATTTATCTAAATTCTAATAATTATGCCATTCCACTAACTTTTAATGATCAATTTTTTAAAATGTGAATTACCTCCATAGTTAATGCTAGACTCTGGTGTGTTGGAGATATCTAGAAGTGACCCTATAGAAAGGGAATGTTCAGCTGATGGGCGCTTACGGGGAGGAAAAGGTGACATGTCTGTCTCTCTTGAAAGCTGAGCAAGTGTCTCTTTTAAACGACGTCTTTTGCGATTGCTGTTTGGGGTATTTAGAGAAAGCAGTGACACTGATTTCTTGAGCTCAGGAGTATTAGCCTGCAATCAAAAGCACAAAAGCTCAATTTTACTTCCTTGGTTCTATACTGAGACAGGAACAGAAGAAAAATATATTTACAAGTCTGACAAAATCTGGATTTTGAACAATAATTTTACAACTACACACTCTGCCAGGTAATTCAGAAGATTCATAAAACACAATAGTCAAGGGACCACTGTAAATGCCTAACCCCAAGCACCTCATTCTGTTTCTTCACAGCTCTATCATCATTACATATTCATTTGTAAGCTGGTTTACTGTCTAGTCCCCTGTTAAACTCTGGAGGGCAGGGACCATTCATAGTTTGTTCACTATATCCTTAGCATTTAGCACAGTGCCCGGACATATTGCTCTACAATATTTGCCAAATAACATTTGGCTTTAAAAGCTCTCTCCTGAAATTTTAAGCGGTTTTTAAACTTTATGGTTAAGAACCTTATACTAAGAACAAAAGCATTCAGAAGACAATATAGTACCTATCTAGATTTTATAGTAATACAATAAATCTGCACCTCATCTTCAATAGTCCATTCAAATTAAATCTCCAACTAAAGAAAATCCTCCCTTAAAGCCTGCTTCTATACCTTTATGCCACGTTTTGGTGAATGATACCACTCTTCACCAATCTAGCATGAAGGCTGTGTTTTCCTTGCCTACAATCTATTACTAGAGTCATTTTTCTAATGACATCTCTCCCCTTAATATTCTTCAATGGCTCCCAATACTTACCAAATTCTTTAACATTTTAAAAACCACTTGATTCTACCTAAATCATATGCTTTATTTGTTGGCCTTCTTTCCCACACTCTTTTCTAAAGCCACACTGAACTACTTGCTATTTCAATGTACTTTCAAGCTTCACACCATCTCTCACCTGCTGTCTAACTTGAATGTCCTTACAAGGTTAGTAACCTAGTAAGTTGGCTCTCTACTCTTTTTACTCTTTTCAGTCCTGCCTGAGTCTCTCAGAATGAGGCTAGTTAAAATAATTACTCAACTATAGCACATATTCTGCACTATAGTTGTATGTATATCTATCTTTCCCTTAAGATTCTAAGTTTCTGAAGATAGTGTTATTGTTCATAATAGTATCACTACGAAGTAGCACAGAATGACATATATTAGATTAAAATAATTCTGCATTGAAGAGTTTTACTTAAATCTACACAAACTATTACTCAATAACTAACTGTTCAATTATTTTCAAACTCTTAAAACATGACTTAAAGATGACTGGTAGGCCAATTATACCACGCTCTTTTCGAACAGAAGTGTTATCTTTATACAATCAAATGCACAAAACAAATGACTAATGGACAAAAAAGCATACCTTTTCATATAAATACATAGTTTCTCCAGCTCGGGCATCCATTTGAATGCTTCCCCAGAACCACTAGGTAAGAGGAAATAAAAAATTAAGAATTTATCAGAGAAGCAATTAGTAATATTTTTTAAAAAACCAATCTTGGGGCTTCTAGCTGACTCAGTCGGTACAGCAGGCAACTCTTAATTTGGGGGTCATTAGTTCAAGCCCTGCATTGGGTGTGGAGCCTACTTAAAATAAAAAAATAAAACAAAATAAAAATAAAATTCTATCTAAAAAAAAGCCAATCTTATTCTAGAATTACTTGCCTCCTGCTTGACAACATAAAGTTTCTTCGAAGGTTCAAATGGAAGTTCTTTTACTACATTCTCTTCAACTACAAGGTGAGTGCAGCTTTCATCTCCAACGGGTAAACAGTTACCTCCTAAAGAGAAATGCATGCAAGCATAAATAAGCCGAACTATTTATCTCCAAACCTGAATTTTTAAAGAGGCATATTCGCCAGGAGATGATAAAGCAAGAGTGGGGAGAAAAATATAACTTTTAAATTGTAGTAAATTCTACCTTGCATTTTAGTCATTTCTTCCATATTGGTTTTTTCTTCATCCGAAAATCCCAAGAAACTTAAAATGCAATCTTGAAATGGAGGAACTTTAAATTCATTTCTAAAGTCATCAACTGATGCACAGAAATCCCTAAAAACAAAATATACTCTTCTAAAACCAGTTAAAATTCAGTAAGTATATCAATTTATGAATCTATAATAATTCTCAAGGTTTTCAGCATAATCCATTTATTGAAAATATTTTACATGTAGTCCTGAAATGTTCACAAAAACATCAGTTAAAAAAAAAAAAAATTGGTGTGTCCTCAGTCATCCCGGAAATATCTTCTAACAAAATTTGATCACAAGTAGTCTTTACAAAATTCAGATCCTTGCTCTGGACATGAAATTTTCTATGTATTCCAGGGATTCTGTAGTTTCATGAAATGTTAAATAACGATGAAGAAGAATAGCAAGGAATTATGAGGTTGGAAATTTTAACAGGTTATGAACTGCAATCACCACTTAGAATGTAACTAGACAAACAGTGAAAAAAGTATAACAATCTAAATATCCAGATGCATTAAGTTTTTACATAATAGTTTTAGAATGTTAACAATAATCAAAATTATTTCACAAGGTAAAGTCTGAAGATACAGATGCTTTTCAATTTTCAATTTTTTATAATTTTTTTTTTATAACTTTGCTCCACCTAGACTTTATTCCTTAGGCTACCCAAAGACTAAATTCATTTTATCTACACTATCTATGAATTTAGGGTTTTGGGCACATGGGTTTATAGTCATAACATACTTAATTCAAATAATGAGCTACTGAATTCTAGAAGTCCAATGCGCTATCCATAGCGCTAGAGCCACCTTGAACTACTGAATTTCTAAACACTTACTGTTCATTCCGCCTTTCCCAAGCTTTATAAATCCATTCTGACTTCATAATTGGAGTGCCCAGGCTCACAGCAATCTAAAAATATAAACATTAATTACAATGAATTTTCACCCTAAATAACTGCATTCATGGAATTTCTAAGCAATTTTATACATACTGTTTTTTGCAGTTTTAGATCATTATTCATCTGCTTTCTGACAAAGTATAACGAAAAATTAACAGAAAAACTGTCTTTCAATCATACAAGTTAGGTTAAAATAATTTAGAACAAGTTCCATGATGTCCAAATCATTTCCTTATTTTATTTATTTTTTTTAAAGATTTTATTTATTTATTTGACAGACAGAGACATAGCGAGAGAGGGACCACAAGCAGGAGGAGCGGGAGAGGGAGAAGCAGGCTTCCCGCTGAGCAGGGAACCCGATGTGGGGCTAGATCCCAGGACCCTGGGATCATGACCTGAGCTGAAGGCAGAAGCTTAACAACTGAGCCACCCAGGCGCCCCTCATTTCTTTATTTTAAACAAATATAACTCTGAAGCTAAGTTCATCTTTATTTTACTATATTTCTATTTCTCCTTTCTCCATCTTTACTTCCTTGGAAGTACTGACTCCCAAGATAGGATTACAGAAGAAAATATCTGATTAAGTCACAAAAAACTAAGATATGAATTGGAAAGAATACCTCCCAGGAATTTAACATTACCCTAAAATTACCATTTGTTACATAAATACACTGATGGAGGGTGGGAACAAGGTGATAAATTCTTTGTAGATACTCAAGTGCAGTCTTAAACTAAGATTTTAATTCTAGTAAAAGTAGTTTCTCCTGTTCTTTTACAGTTTTCGCTAGTTAAATCTTATAACCATTTTATAAGAACATAACTTTGTTCTTATTAATACCATTTAGACAAGAATGAAATATCTGCTCAACACTTCCTAACCCCCTTATTCACCAACACTTCTAATAACCTTTGCTAATATTAATCATCTGCCTGAAATGCCACCCATCTACCAACCTCCACAATCCTACTCATTCACAAATCCTACTTATTTCAAGACCTAACTCAGGTTCCATTGCTTCCTTAAAACCTAAAGACCACACTCCTATAATTTAAAATTTTTACTAAATGTACATATAGCAAAAATGGAATTTCTGATCCTCAATAAACTGTGGGAGAAATAGATAGGATGAAAGTACTGTTATTAAATCCACCCCCACCAAAATGCTATACTGAAATACACCCAAGTTTACATACCCTGAATTTTTCTCCTTGTGTACAATTTGCCACCAAATGTGTAACTTTTGAATTAAAGTCTTTTCGAATAACTCCACCCATGTGATGAACCAATGTCACCAATCTGACCTCAAAAGAAAAATTAGGGAACATTATGATTAATTTGAACAAAATTTTAAATTATGTTTAGAAGTCATTTAGAATCTACTGAATAATTTTTACTTATAAGGTACATATAAGAATTTTTATAAAGATATGAATTTTATGTCAAAAAATTAAAGATTCATTGCCTAACAGGCACAGGCAAAATTATACATAGAGATAAGCTAGTAAAGATAATTACACAAAACTTAATTAAACAACTGGCTTTCATGCATCCTAAACAGAAGACTTCTTTTAAACACAAGGTTATATCACACAAAGATTCTGCCCACAAAGTTACAGTAATACCCTATTAGCTCCAACACAGAATTTTATGAATCAAAAAAGTTTCTACGAATTCTCTAGGGCAATGAATATACTTTAAACCTGGATGTGTATAACAAAAAATTGCAACGTATTAACAAAAACTTGAAATAACGTGGCTGATGATCCTTAACAAAAAGACAATTTAAACAGATCAGATAGTAATGAAGTTTTTCTCTTAATTCATATGCCTGCCAGCCTAAACAAAATGTTTCTTTACAAGGCTCTTCATGTTTCTTCATAAAATTTAAAATAGTATATTCATAAATTCTCCTTCAATATGTTTAAAATAAAACTATGATATAATTAACCCCCCAAAAAATGTCAATTTAAATTTATTTGGCTGGAAAGAATATTCCTTGAATAGAATGTTTTAAAATACTTACTAGTTCTTCTTTTTTCCTGAATCCAGTAAAGCATAGTACTAGATTCATCATGCTTGTACAATAGAGTGGGCGACATGAAAAAGGCAAAGGCTAAAGGACACAACAATTTTAAATCTGTGAGTTTTCTTTATAGTAGAGAACAGAACACATCTTTCTCAAGCTAAAACATATTTCCCCCTCTTGCCAATCAACTTTGTCAATCCAAAGATTTCCTGCATTTTTCAATATGCAACAAAAAAAATAGCAAAAAAAGATTACATGTTTTATAATACAAAAATCCCCCATAACTCCCAATTTATATTTGACACACACAATCTAAACACACTTTACTACTGGCAAATTAAACATATTTATATGCAAACTTTCAGTTCTAAAATATACTTTGACTCAAAGTTTTATCTGCTAGGAAAAATTTCAGACTCCATACACTATTGTAAATGTTTCCAGTTAAAATTCCATTTAAAACAGTTCAAAATATTTTATAACAAACACTACATAAATTACACTATACTTGAACCAAATATGATTCCAATTTTTGAGCTAAAAAAATGGAAATAGTAGATAATTTAAGCAACAGAGATAGATGTATGTATGTATGTATATATATAAATAATAGGAAAAGAACGGTTAAAAAATAAGTATAGACATATAGTTCCCACCATTATGCAAGATTATTTAACAATTTTGGTCTTTAAAAGGTTTACTTGGTTTTTTGAAAGCAACACTTCTGAATCAAAACAGAGAATTAAAGATTATCATGCACTTTACTAAGTATCTATAACAAAAGAAGCACAAAATTGACCTATACAATTTTAAGTTAATAAGGCAAGTTTAAGAATGGCAAAACATAGCAACAAAACCAAAGATTACAGACTAACTCTACTACAACTCTAACACTGAAATGTTATTTAAAATCAAAAAGCTGGGGCTCCTCACTGGCTCAGTTGGAAGAGCATGCAACTCCTGACCTACGGGTTGGGAGTTCAAGCCCCACACCAGGTGTAGAGATTACTTAAAATAAATAAACAAATAAACTTAAATTTACAACCCAATATAAAAAAAAAAAGCTAAAATAATTTAATTTTAAGCCATGCAGTAACAAATAAAAATGGAAATGTATATTTATTCTGTGGAAGAAAATAAGTTTATATATGTATATACATTTCTGGAACCCAAGTTTAAAAAATTATTTCTCCCAAGATATTGCAGGTATTAAGATATATATGTGTGTATATACACACACAAATATGTAATTGTCATTATTTAACTTTCAAGTCTTAGATTTTCACTCTTAAAAGTTACAATAGAAAGATTTTAAAAACTATATTAGAGTAGCCAATACTATCCCTATTCTAAATCTTACATACTCCCAACAATTAACAGGATTTTTCTGCTTACAAATTTTCACAAAATTCATTAATAAAAATTTAACCTTGAAAGTCATAATAAATGTATATTTTCTTACCTCTCCTTTTTGGGCACAGTTTAAGATAACTGGTGGTCCGATAATTCTATAATCAGTCTTGTGTAACTCATTAAAAACAGAATCCTGGAAGTCCATGACTATGAATACATTTTCAAATTCTGGAGAATCCAAACTTTCAAATTCTTCCAGTGATTCCATCTTTACAAAGGGCACTTTAATTTCCTTGATTTTTTCAGGTGGTTATTAGAAATAAAAATTATTTATAGATTACAAAGTTAACTCATGTAACTCTAAATAACACCTAAAAAAATCAATTCACTATCAACACTTTTTTATATTTGTAGTAAACTTTTAAATCACACAATGAGCATTATACTTAATAGTGAACAGCCTTATTTCTTTACTATTTGTTTTTTTATATATACATTTCTCCATCCATACTGATATTAAATTTTGAATATTAATATTATAAAGGCATAACTTTGGACATGACTTAGTCATTATAAATCATCTAATACACATATAAAATTAAAATGATTTTTTAAGTATACACATTTTGATAGTAAGATGCATTAGAAAGATATCCACTATTACTTTTTATTCTCACCAAGAAAATGATGCCACACTTAACAGTTCTTCCTGCATAAATCATCTCCAGAATGATTTATAGAAATAGAAATAGAAAAAATACTATGGCACTTAGTATCTACAAAAAGGGTATAGATTAACTTAATCATTTCAGAATATATGAGGGAAATAAGAGAAAGATATGAAACATGTAGGTAGCTGCTACGTGGCAAATGTAGAATATAAAAAGGCTTTCCTGTTTAACACTTTATAATGTACATCTATGAAAAAGAATGAAGATATTTAAGTACCTGTATGACTCCTATGCAAAAAGAAAAGAACCATTTAAAAGAAAATCCTGAATAGGTCAGTAAATTGTTTGGGCTTTATTTGCTAGGCTGATGTGACGAGCTGAATTGTGTATCCTCGAAATTCACACTGAAGCCCTAACCCCCATACCTCAAAATGAGACTGCATTTGAAGACAGGGCCTTTTAAGAGGTCATTAAGGTTAACTGAGGTCACGTAGGTAGACCCTAATCCAATCTAATTGGTGTACTTACGGGAAGAGGAAATTTAGACACACAGAGTTATCAGGGATGTGCATGCCCAGAAGGGCCATGTGAAGACACAACAAAAAAGTGCTGGCCATCTGCAAGCCAAGGAGAGAGACCTGAAGAGAAACCAAACCTGCCAACACCTCGATCTTGGGACTTCTAGTCTCCAGAACCTAGAGAAAATACATTTCTGTTGTTTAAGCCACCCAGTGTCGGTATTTTGTTATGGCAGCCCTCCAAACTAATACAGCTGGTATATAGAATTAGATATATTTCATATGCTGAGACAAATTCCCTGATGATTGTCAAATTATTGTAATTTATATTTTTTAAGATTTTATTTGAGAGAGAGAGAGAGACTGTGTGCAAGCAAGCAGGTGGCGGGGGGGGAGTCTTAAGGAGACTCCATAACAATCGTGGACCCCAACCCAGGGCTGGATCCCACCACCCTGAGAACATGACCCGAGCCAAAATCAAGAGTTGGACACTTAACCAACTGTGCCACTCAGGTGCCCCTGTGATTTATAATTTTGGAAATAAAGCAAGAATTTGGAATAAACAAAATTAATGGGAAAAAAAGAAGCTAAAGAGTTTAAAGAAAAACATCAGACCTTTGTGAATATATGTGTGCCATTTAAATTTAACAATGCCAAATTACAGTGTAAAAAGTTCATTACTTATAATATATACCATAGTTTGGGATTTCAGAAACACCTAAATTTTTAAAATAAATATAAAAGATTCTATTCATCTAGCTTCAGAGTGCACAAAATATACCTTGTGCCTAATTTAGGTCCAATCACCATTAAGTGGAATTTAAGAATATAATCAAGAGTAGTGCAGCATGCCACATGCAATGAAATGCTTGACCTACCATATTAACAACACTTTTTATTAATTTTTCATCCGACTTTCCAGGACAACTTTCTCTTATCTTTATAACAGGGACTTCCATTATTTTAATAGTCTGTGGAAAAGAGACTTAAGTATAAGATCAAGAAAACTATAAAATTATTTAAACACTGATGGAAGAAAAATAGCCTTTCTTAAAAAAAAAAAAACTAAAATTCCATACCTTTAAAGCTTTTATAAGTTCTTCTTGTTTTCCAGCTTCCTGAACCAATATCAGTCTCGTTTCAATTTGAGGCATTTCTTCTATTAAAATTAAAAATGTTTAAATATGTTTATCAGGTACTACTATCAAAATCAACAGTTCTTAATCCCTCTTTTCGCTATATCTGGCATGTTTTCCCATCTTTGAGGAGACTCCTAACTTTCTCTAAAATTAAAATGACTTAATTCTCAGTTTATTTTTTAAAATTTGGCCATCTATCACTTTAGAGAAAGAAAAAACAAATTGCCACAAAGTCTACAAACATTAGCACTCCTCCTAACCAAAAAAAGCATTCACTATCTTGCACAGCCATCCTCTTCAACAGTGCATGCAACGTCGGGACAGACCCATTTACATAGGGGTTAAGGGAATAAGTGGCTTTTCACCTGACCAGTCATAACTGGGTAAACTCTAACAGTGTTGCAGCTAGATTGCCCTCACACACAGAAAAAGCAATATTCAACAATAAGATGCTTTCTCCTTCAAAGCTGAGAAGCATTAATCCAAACAATAATCAAAAATCTAAACGGTATAAATGGCTAAAATCAACAACAAAAGAAACAACAGGTGTTGGTGAGGATGTAGGGAAAAGGAACCCTCATGCACTACTGGTGGGAATGCAAACTGGTGCAGCCACTGTGGAAAACGGTATGGAGGTTCTTCAAAAAGTTAAAAATAGAGCTACCTTATGATCCAGCAATTGCACTACTGGTATTTACCCAAAGAATACAAGAACGCTAATTCAAAGGGATACACGTACCACTATGTTTATAGCAGCATTATCTATAATAGCCAAATTACGGAAGCCAAGTATCCATCATCAATTGGTGAATGGATAAAGAAGATGTGGTGTATATATAATGAAATATTACTGAGCCATAAAAAGAACGAAATCTTGCCATTTGCAACAACATGGATGGTGTTAGAGGGTATAATACTAAGAGAACTAAGTTAGTCAGAGAAAGACAAATACCATATAATTTCACTCATGTGAAATTTAAGAAACAAAACAAGCAAAGCGAAAAAAATGAGAGACAGAAAGATAAAGAAACAGACAATAGAGAACAAACTGATGGTTACTGTCGGGGGGGCAGTTAAATAGGTGATGAGCACAGGGTGATACATAGAAGTGTTGAATTACTATATTGTACAACTGAAACTAATATAACACTGTATGTTAACTAACTGGAATTGAAATAAAAACTTAAAAAAACTACAAAGAATAAAAGATTCTGTCAACAAATATTTACTGAATCACTGTACTCTAGCTTAACAGTATTACAGTTAAATTTTAAATTCCTAGTCAGTTTAGGATTAAAATGATTTGGTGTTTTAAAGCTGATTAACAGGTTTACCTTCAACAGGTTTACCTTCAACATATGAAGCAGATCCAATAAAGACATTTTCCTTAGAAATTTCAGTAATTTTAGAATCAAAAATAGAGGAGTCTGCCAAGCTTGTCCTCCCAGTAGTAGATGTTAATACACTATTGTCAGCCATTGTTAGTACTCTTCTACGTTGGCTGAAAAAAATAAAGTTTGAATAAAAACACATGAGCATTGGGCAGAAACATGCATTAGAGGCTCTACTTTTATATCTAGAATTTATAAAAAGTATCATTACTCATTTTTCTTAATACTGAACCAAAGAAATGTCATTCAACCTCTCTGAGCCTCCATTTCCTGTAAAATAAAGATACTACTACCTGACTCATAGGAATATAGTAAAAATAACAATGTATGAAAAGTACTCAGAACATGACCCAATATACAATGAAAATTCAGAAGGTAGTCATAAATATTCTCTCTCCTCCTCTACCCCTTTGCCCTCAACCAACCCATTTTCCTATCTTCATTTACAATACTACCAACATCCCTCAAATAATCCCTGTCAAAAACTAGATCTATTCTTACCCTTTCCTCTATTTTATTTTGCCCTCCCCCAAATTCCTATCAATCCTATCTCAAGTACTCTGGGAACTCATAAGGTTGTCTCTGATTATTAATTTATTGCCAAAGCAGCTTCAAATTTTAGAAAAAAAGAGCTGAGACCTGGCCCCACTTCTCTATGTTCAATGCCACAATGGCCACTTGGTCAAATACAACAGCTCCAAACAACTTTATCATCAGTTTCTTCAGATCACTCTCCACATTGTTGCCTGGGTTGTGGTCCTAAAAACAAATGTGACCATATCACTTCCCTGCTTAAGAACTTCCATGAGCACTCTTCCCTATAGGGTCAAGTCCAAATACACCATCAGGTTTACAGTTTGGTCCTAGCCTAACTCTTCAACCTCATCTCCTGTTTAATTCCCGCAGTCCACATATACTGTATGCTCCAGCCACAATGTATTTCTCAGCATTTTTCAAACACAGATCACGATTTACTCCACACACCTACTTACATTTAATAGTACTCAATTCTCCACCCAGCACATCTTTCAACTCCCAACCCACTGCTCTTGACTCATTCTCTGTGGATGTCTCTGTATATCTCATATGTGTAGATTGCTCTTATCTGTATTTTCATATTACTTTACTATCATCTCTCCTTTAAAAGATTTAACAAGACAATTACACATGGGTTAGTGTCAATATGGCTCTGGACATTATTTTTTTTTTTTTTAAGACTTCCAGGACTTAAGAGTTGAAAAGTTAGGCTAACAGGGAATAAAGAAAAAGTTAAATGAATTTTCAATTCAAATCAAGGTTATTATGTAAGTTTATTATCTTGAAGTTAATTTCCAGAATATTCGGCAAATATAAAGAGGAGGCCCTATCTTTATCTGGTATATGTCTGACGTACTGTACCCTCTCCTACTTTTTTTACGTTAATAAGATATACAAATATCTTCCACCAGCTTTTTATCAAAGTAATAGTTTAAATAAACTATATGCTGTGGAGAGACAGCATATAGTTCAGGTATCATTAGCATCATTTCTAGATGGTGATATTAAGTAGTGCGAAGATGAGCACACTAATAATATCCAAAGACCTAAGCATAATTGTTAGGTGCACACTTCAAAGCCAGGCAACCCAGCCTCCTGTCTCAACTCTGCACTCAGTTTCCACATCCAAGAAAAAGATAATAGCACAACTCAAATCCAGTTGTGATGAAAACTGAATAGATGACATCTTAATATGAGTGACAATTATTAACTTTCATAATATTCATAATGTGGACATTTTTAATTGTCTTACCATACATCCATATCAATCATTCTAAGGATCTCCAAAGGAATGCCCCAACAGTTGTTAATAACAGTCTCTATTTACAATCAATGACAAATTCTATCCAGCCCTTATTTTTTGTTGTTAAGTCTCCTACACTTAATGGTTTCCAGTCAAAAAGAAAAGGCTCTACAAAGGCTATCATTCAAAGTTCCCTTAAAAGAACCTTAAAAAAAAGTCAAGAGATGAACTAACATACTTTAAGGACTGAAGGAGGGAGATTTTAATAATCAAAAACATGAATTTACATTTTTCTCCTATGCCTGTTTAAAGGCCAACAAAATAGGTAATTAAAAATTAAAATTGTCTCTTAATACTGTATATGATCAATTTATTGCTGAAATAGCTTCAAATTTTAGGAAAAAAGAGTTGCGTGGAAAGTTGATGACAACACCCAACACTCTGATTACAAAAGGAAATACACTAATCACTTTTTCACATTCATGCATTCTGTAAGCTTGTAAGACAATAGGATCAGTGTTCATAAACCTATACAGCTTATTTCTCATCCAAGAATATAGTCAAGCAGCTTTTGACTAAATAACACATGCCTCTTTTCATCCCAAAGAGAAAATCTGTCACTTAAATAATTCACTTTAGGTTTCCTTTTACTTATTTTTTTAGGCAATTATCTTTCAGAGGAGTTAAATGAAATACTGGATATGATGGTAATGTTATTGACAATAATAACATTAGTGTTAACATTATAAACATTATGGTTAATATTTATTTAACGCTTAATATGTGTCAGACATTGTTCTAAGTCTTTTACTTTTATTTATTTAATCTTTGAAACCATCCTAAGAGGCACGTACTATTCCTGTCTCCATCTCATAAAGAATCCTAGAAAAGAGAGGTCAAGTAACCAGCCAAGTCAATAAAACAGGGATTCAAACCCGGGCTGATTCCAGAGGCTTGCACTTTTAACCACTAAACCAAACAAATCTGTACGGGGGAGGAAGGCGCGCGCGGGGGGGTCGGGAGGGGAGGGTTAGGCGGAGGCCGGAATGGGCTGGCGTTTTCAAAAACTAAAAAGTAAACCTCCTACAGAGAAAACACCAAAAAGAATCCTGGAGTGAAACCACTAAGCACTCTGAGTTAAGCCCCCAAAGGCAGCAGCTGTGGGCCGCCAGAACCGCAGGGACAAGGCGGCTTGTTGAGACCACGCTTCCCAACTCCCTCCCTTCATCCAGACATTCTTCCGGAAAAAATATCTCACCAGGCGAGAGATGAAGATGCCCAACAACCGGGAGGACTTCGGGATCCCACTGCGCTCACTGCCCAGCTGTTGGTAGTGCGGTGGGGGAGTTCCCAGAGCCAGGAAGCCTGAGCAGGGGTGCTCCGGAATTCGCGGTCATGGGGCGGGGTAGCCGGACAAGAGAAGGGGCCCACTGCTCCGGGGGCGTTGGCCCACTCCCACCTCCCCTACCCACATCCACAAAGTTCTCACCACTCTCAAAAAACGCCTCGGAAGTCCACCTGTTCAAGCACTGATTCCCCTTACTGGTACCGCCATTCCTCGCGGGTGTCAGCCACAACCAATTCAAAAAGTGAGCCTCTTTCTCTAAAAGCCATGCCGATTGGCGCGTGATGTCAACCTCCTTCCCATAGGCTGCGGTCTCCAAAGGGGCGGTGATTGGCCACTGCTCTCCGCCCACCTCCCCGCAGGCGCCGATTGATTGGTTCTGCGTGTGTTTCAAATAAACCTAACGGCTCGCACGTCGGAACAACCGGAGTTTGTAGAGAAGTGCCCGGATGTGACCGGGAGGTGGCAGTGGTAGCTCCTGGGCTTCTCTGGGAGTGGCAGGTGTGTCTGAGGCTACCGCTTGTTTATTCAATAAACTTCCCATTTCCTGAGTCAAGTTTGAGTGGATTCCTGCCCCCCCAGCCCCCGCGCCAGCTACTTTTTGTAAGCGTCACTAAATCCTTTAAATCAGTGCCCCCACGGTTGAATTTTTTTCACTGCTTGCTGGGAGCTGAAAGATTTTCCTGCTTGTGTGCTTTCTGCTTTAGGAATGTTATTTCAAGTTGGCTCCAGAGGTTTTGACTTTGGTAGTTGTGTTGGCGTGGCACTGCCATGGACAGGGAGGGGCTCTCCAGGTGGACTTCAAATCAGCAGCCGCTTATTTAAATTCTAATGTATGTAAGCACTGCCCTGGTCTGAGGAATTTCACCGGTGATTAGAATAAATTCTTAGTGTTTCTCGGACTTTTTTTTTATATATATATAAGTTTACACTTGAACAAATGTAAAAATATGTCAGAAGATTCTAGAATCTCCTGGAGCCAAAGTAAATTGCTTCTTGCTGCCTCCTCCGTCCACCGTGAGATCTTTTCTTTCCTGTAAAGTCTAGCCAAGAATTTATCGTTTGTCCTGTAATTACTATAGCTATTGTGAAAACTATTTTACTTTCTTCAGTTTCTAAATATGATACCCTGTAACATTATCTCTTAAGAAAAATACTTCTCCATCCAGGTAGGTTTTGCTTAGTTCCCACCTAATCACTGATTTAAGTAAAAGAAAGGGAAATCCGTTGCCCAAATTTTAAATCCCAATAAGAGAAGGAAAACTTGTACTCTGGAATGGAACACTTCCGACCATGTCAAACAGGTGAGATTTTACAAGTTTTCCTGATTTTGTCAGGCCACTTTAGAATCACTGTAAAGTGTAATGTAATCCAAAAAAATGTGTGACTCAGTCTGGTAATTATTGGTTTCCGTGTTTATAACTGAAGAATATTTGCAGTCTGCCCTTCAGTATAATGCTGTGATAACTGTTAAGGCAAAAGAAAAGAAAAAGAGTCATTGAAATTTCACTTTGGAATGTGCTTGCATACTTAAATCAGGGTGTGCCCAGCATTCCAAAAATTCTCACCAGTGAAACCTATTAAGCTAGTGAAGAGAGCAGCCTATTTCCTCTGTGCACTGCTCTGTTAAAGTGGCTTTGCACCCAAATCTAATGACCATGAGGTATCACCACACAAAATGTATACTAGCCTAGCAAAAACTATACTTGATTTCTTTTAAGGGATATATGGCATTTTACTAACAAACAGGCAATACAATCTTCTTCCATTTCATAACCGCGTAACAACCTCCTTTTACATCTCCTATCCATGTAACCTCAAGCAAGTTACTTAACCTCTCTATGCCTCAGTTTGCCCTCTATAAAAGGGTCTAATAGTACTTCATAATTTTGTTGTGAGGATTTAATTTATGTAATTAAAGCGGGTGCCTGGCAGGCTCAGTCCGTAGATCTCAGGGTTGTGAGTTAGAGCCCCACATTGGGCATGGAGCCTGCTTTAAATATATATATATGTTTATATATATAATATATAACATAAATATTATACATATTAAAAAACATATTCTAGCATAAGGTAAACATGCAAGAGAATGTTAGCTGTTAATATTACTACTACTTTTATTACTACTGTTATCTCAACTAAGGGGCCCTGTAAATTGCCTGATGGGACTGATGGTTCTCTACATTGCTTTCTCATCCCTGACCCCAGGAGCGATGGCACATATGCCTCCCTTTGCCCCACCCTACCCCAGCCACAAACTACCACCCTCTCCAACCAAGCTCCAAGCTTGATACAGCCAAGACCTCCATTGCTTTCTTTGCCTACCAGAGAGAGGACAATTTTCCTTCTATACCAAATCTATTCTTCCTTTTCTCCTTTAAGGAAACCCTGCTGTGCTGTGCTCAAGACATGGCTCTCTTGCTGCTGCCCTTGGCCAGGCTTTTGTTCCCTTCCAAGGCAGGTCCTAGCTAAGATTCTTTACGTTAAATGTTAGCCTCATTCTCCAGGCCCCTTCACTGGAAATACACTTATTAAATTAATATGTCAACCTCTGTTTGTATAGGGTAGATAGATAAATTAAAATAAGGAGTAACTTGAAAGAATAAACCATTAAACAATTCTTATGTGTCATCCACAACTCCTAGGATACCAAATGGACAGGTTTCAGATATAAAATACTAAAGAAATTTAACTGAATTTAAGTACTTAGTAGTGTATGACATATTTTCCCCCAAGCAATAAAACAATTTCTAAAGATGGGGGATAAAAATTTTAGATGTGGAAAAAATGAAATGTGAAAGATAGTACTGAGATTTTTCCTTTAGAGGATCAGCTTTCCCACCTCCATCTTCAAATTGGGTGACACTCTGGATTCTCTTTCTTTACCCCTACAGCCTTGTGCCTCTTCAAGTTTATTCCCTCTTACTCATATTTCCTCTTTTTCCTCCATGCCCTCACCCTCCATCTCCACATCTTCTTTCTGCTTCTTCAGAGCAGCAGAGAATGGGAAGTTAGGAAAGTTAATTTTGAGTTACAGGATCTTTCCCCACCTCATACTTACCCTAATAAGAACTAGTATATCTGAAAAATTATTAAATCTGTTGCAATAAATGGGCAATATCTGTTGTAGTGGACTTTGATTTTATTACCTAAAGCTGTAATGAAATATATTACAATTTCTAGATTTTATTTTAAAAATGTGAAATGTTGGGGCACCTGGGTGGCTCAGTCAGTTAAGCGTCTGCCTTGGATTCCAGTCATGATCTCAGGGTCCTGGGATCAGGCCCTGCATCGTTGGGCCTCTTGGGGCGGGGGGTGGCTGCTTAGCAGGGAGTCTGCTTCTCCCTCTCCCTTCCACCCCCCTCCCCACCCCCGCCCCACTCATGCTCACCTGCTCGCTCACTCTCTCACATAAATAAATAAAATCTTTAAAAACTTTGTAAAAATACTTTCATATGGAGTGACAAAAAAAGTTTTAAAATGTGAAATGTTATCAACCAGTAATTCTATTTTATAGTAAATTTAAATACTTCATCATAGGATTGAATGTTTTACTGCAACTAAATATTAACTTTGTGATGTCACAGATTTCGTGAAATTGTTTTTCTCCTTCTAGCGCCATCCTTACCTCCTCAAAACATTTTTGAAGTACGTACCTATATATAATGCCACACGAGATACCAAGATTCAGTCCCTCTAAGAACTTATCACTTATTTATTTCAGAAATTTTAATGAATACCCTCGGAATTCTGTCCTTTCTTGGAATTAATAACATTTTCCAATGGAAATGTCATATTTCCAAGTAGGTTATAATGCAGCATCTTTTAACCTGTCATCTCTGCCTGTAAACAAGCTTTAGAAATTACAATCACTGGGAGCCAGAAGAAGCCATTTTAGATACCTCGATAACCAGTAATTAGGATATGAATCGTAGCTTTATTTGAATGACTCATTAGGCTATAAATCTCTTAACATAGATTTCCAAGACTGTACAAATTTAGCACTTAAAGTTTCACTTGAACAAAGAGAATTAGCTTTGCTTGATGGAGCAAGAGGTTTCCAAATATGATGAGACCATTATTTCAAATTATGTAATTTGATTAAAAAAAATTTAGATGTGGAAAAAAAATCTCAGCTCGTTAGTCTCATTCTTTATCTTACAGAAGAATTTTACCAAGGCCAGCACCATAGAGGTTATATTCCTTTGCCAAGGTCAGATAACTAGTCAATGGCAAAATCAAGATCAAATGTTTTATTTTCATTAAGCTATTCTGTCTTTATTAAAATATTAATATTTATATTTTACAACATACTTATAAAAGTACCAATATCTTTATTCATAATGCTTATATTTATATATATATATGCATATATATATATTTTTTTTTTTTTTTACCTTTGAAAGCCTTAAGATACTTTCAATTACATAAGAGCCTTGTTGGGGGGCACCTGAGTGGCTCAGTCGGTTAAGCGGCTGCCTTCGGCTCAGGTCATGATCCCAGGGTCCTGGGATCCAGCCCCGCATCGGGCTCCCTGCTCAGTGGGGAGCCTGCTTCTCCCTCTCCCTCTCTCTGCTGCTCTGCCTACTTGTGCTCTCTCTCTATCTCTGTTAAATAAATAAATAAAAATCTTAAAAAAAAAAAAAAGAGCCTTGTTGGTCTTGTTTACCTATGTACCTTCAGCACCTAGCAACAGTTCCTGGCATACAGTAGGTGTTTCATGAATACATTGTAATTGATCCCTAAGAATACACATTGCTTTCTAATCCATTCTCCACCTGAATTCAGAGTGACATTATGCAAAAACAAACTCATCGTCTAGCACCACCTCTTTAAAACACTTCAATCCTACTAGGCCTTCAATCCTTCTACCTACATTTCCAGCTTTATCTTACACCATGTTCACTTTCTTTGAATTCTATACCTGCTTTCCTTCTCAAGGTTTTTTGCACCCACTCCTCCACCAATCCCTCTGATCCCCATTCCTTTAACCTAGAGTAGGCAACTTCTATTCATCCTTTAACATTTGCTCACTTTGCCACTTCTCGGAAGGTCTTTCCTAACTACCCACACTATCAGAACCGTTTTAACCACAGTACCTAGCACACAGAAGGCACTCAATTAAATATTTGTTGAAATAACAAGTAACTCAATGAATGAATGAATGAACTTATTTTTATTATAATATCAGTGATGTTTTTTCCAAAGATACTAAAGAAAGTGTCTCTTATTTTTACTTTTATCTAACCCATTATTTATGACAGTTTTTCAGGAAAAATTAACTGGCATGTTTCCAAAATTAATAAATTTACAACAA